AAACAATTGAAAATAAGAACTGGAATTAAAATGGACGCTCCGTATAACTATATAAAACAAGATAATTAATAATTTATTTAACATAATATAATTGTTTTTATGAAAATATACACTCTAGAGCGCATGGCCGCTAAACAGTACTACACATCGGGACGTTCCTGAACAAAGGTGAGAAAGTTTGGTGTTACATTGCTTACTTTGGGGTGTTCGGAGTATGTATTAGGCACATTGATTGAAGTAGAAAAAGTATAATCCATCACATTTAAAATAAGTATTGTTGCTAAGTAACAGTTTGTGTGTAACGTGCAACTGCAATCGGAACGAAGTAAATTATATTTACAACTGTATACGTAATCCACTGAATATCTCTATCAAGGGGGCGGTATAGGTCCAACAGAAATTGTTAGTATTTTAACAGATTTAATTTTGGATATGTTTTTTGCTAGTAGTTCTATTGTTTACTCTTCTGTATATTGTTTTATATTATGTATGTTATTTAAATGTAGAGATGTAGAATGTCTTAAATGTAATGGATTAAGGGACCGTATTAGGCACATTGATTGAAGTAGAAAAAGTATAATCCATCACATTTAAAATAAGTATTGTTGCTAAGTAACAGTTTGTGTGTAACGTGCAACTGCAATTGGAACGAAATAAATTATATTTACAACTGTATACGTAATCCACTGAATATCTCTATCAGTATGGAAGACGTTCTTCCAGATCGAAATCATATTTCTACTTCCTTTTCCATGAATTATTTTATTTTTAAGAAATACAGTCCACTCTCTATTTTATATGTTACTTTCTAAGGATTCGTAATCCAACATATAGATAATCAATAGCGACATTGAAATACTCTTTAAAGAAATATTTGTATGATTATCTAACGCTTACAATAAATCCGTCATACTCGTGGACGAGTGCTGCTTGTAGGGACTGGTCTGCTCTTATCACTACTACTGATTTAATCTTAGTGTATTTTATATTTGACCCAAAAAAACAGTGCTGGTTGGTAGTTTGTATTCACACGTTTCGATTTGTAAATGTAAACTTACAAGTATTATTTAAAAGAGCAACACACAAGTTTCTTGCTCGTTCTTCTTGTGATGAGACAGATTTTATGGTAATTGCGTAAGATTTTATAATAAACTGCCAGAATCTGCACTAAATCTGACAGAGAGGCAATTCAAATCTTATATTAAACAATTTTTGTGTAAGAAAGCCTATTACAGGATAGACGAATTCATAGAAGACAACATATCAAGTAAATAATTAGTTTATTAGCATACAACGTTATAATTTGTTTATCTCATTGCTTTCTTGATTCAATTATTTTAGAAATATGAAAGCGTAGCGGGTTTTGTATTAATTGCCGCATGCATTCTTATGTGAAATGTGAATACTATAAACATCAGATGGCAATTGTGAGTAGCTATGACGTGGTCTGGTGTTTTGAGTAGTCATGCTCACTAAAATGTCCAGACTTGTGGCGGCGTGGTGGGCCGGGTCATTGGGCTCCCTAAAATATGGTCGAGCGCAGTGATGGCTGGCTCATCCGTCATACTCGTGAACGGGTGCTGCTTGTAGGGACTGGTCTGCTCTAATCACTATGACTGATTTCCTCTTATTAATTGTTTAACCAGTTAGTTATGTATTCAATATTTTTTGTTTTTGAGTATTTAATTGAATTAGTGCTAATCGGTGGTTTGTATTCACACACTTAAACTTAAATTGTAAGTAAGAATAAATTATTTAAAAGAGCAACACACAAGTTTCTTGCTTGTTCTTCTTGTGATGAGACAGCATTCCGAATGAGCGGTAGATTAAAAAAAAATGTTATGACTATTCAAAAGTGCTTCAATGTAAGTTTATTTGAATAAATGATTTTCTATTCTATTCTATTCTTTCTTTCTATTTCCGAACGAGCGGTAGATAAAAAAAAATTGTTATGACTTTTCAAAAATGCTTAAATTGAGTTTATTTGAATAAATCATTTTCTATTCTATTATAATACCATGAGATGATTTGTTTGCACTAAGAATGAGTGCGTAGCGGTTTCTATGTTGATTATCGCATGCCTCTTTCTTGTTATTGTGTAATTATTTATATAAAACAAAAGATCTATTCAAAAGAGCAACACACAAGTTTCTTGCTCATTCTTCTTGTTATGAATCTGCGTTCCGAATGAGTGGTGGATTCAAAAATATAACTATTCAAAAGTGCTTATAATGCGTTTATTTGAATAAAGATTATTTCTATTTCTTAAAAAATTACAATCTCAATAAGTATTGTTTCTTATATACATATGGTACAAATGACCTTGCGGCTCACCGTATGGCAACACCAGGGAAAATGTAAGTGCTTTGCTGGTCTTTTAAGAAGGAATAAGTTTTTTTTTAAGGTTTCAATATCGTAAGATCGCAAATATCATTGCTGGAAGGTGATTCCACAATTGTAAAGGTCTGAGAATATGTTTATAACTAATTTTCATATCCATAAGTGTTACCAAAAATTTTTTTTCATCTATTCGACATTTTTTTATTTTAATTTTTTTATTATGTGGCAAAAAAAAAGACACGTAACCCTAAATTTTCAACCTTCTATTATCAACCCCTATTTTTTATAGCGTTATTAATTTATATGGCAAAAATTTTACCGGGACAGCTAGTAATATTATTTCAATTGTACAAAACAAGATGCCGGCTGAATTTGCTGTGACTCATCAGACAGACGACTTTTTATAAAGTCTATAGCTTATTTGATCATTCAATAATGTATACTTACTTATGTGCGAAATTGACGTAAATACAATGTTAATAATGTACAATTGTTATATTTGATGCTCAAAATATGTCTGAAACTAATTCTACATAGACGCGTCAGGTACTTAATACTCATAGAGAAAATGCTCAGTCTTTATCACTGTCAGCTTAATTGAGAAGATACCTAGATGGCGCTGTGTGAGGGGTTATAATAATAATGTTTTATTCGGATTATTATATTGTATTAGTTACAATTTCTTAAATATAATGTTAGTAAAACATAAATATATCGCAACAAATGGATACAATGTTATAGCGCGTCGCGTCGATCCCGGAAACCCGTCCGCTTCTCCAGTGCTATTCATTTTGCTATGTTTGTTGTATGTTTATTTGTCCATATGAATTTCTTCATATGGAAAAGCAACAGCAGCGGAGAGCGGTTACAAATTATATATAATTGGAAAAATAGCATTTAAAGCAAAGCGCAATGAATAAAACAAGTATGGACTTAACAGCACCACACGCTGGCGCGAGCAGCGAGTTACTGCCACTGCAATTCCCCCATTGCAGTGGCAGTGCCGCAATTAATTAGAACAACAACGATAAGGGAGATCTTCTCTAGTGCTTATGAGCAAATGTATACTGTATTTACACTATATTTCCATTTATGACGGTAATTATTGTGTTATATTGTGTTTCCAAATATATACTATACGTACATAATATTTACGTCTGGACAAAATTTGTAAAGTTAGTCAATAGCAGTCAACTGCTGTTTCCAAATGTCACTTAATCTACAAGTGACGAATAAAGTTATTTTTTTTTAAAGTAATATTCATGTAAGTATATTTTGGTAAGTCTCTATAACTTAATGTACCCGGCAAATGTTCTTAGTTCAAAATATGCGTATAGCAAATTAATATTGTTATTAACATTTTTCGTACTACTCTAATGCTGTAGACCGCAGCTGGCCTTTACAGTTTACCGGATGGTAGGAGGCAGATTGCGCTCCGAACCCGCGGAAGGACTTATGGAGCGGCTGAAGGCTAACTTCAGCTTTTTTTCTTATTACTATAATGCTGTTGGCCACAGTTGGCCTTTACAGCTTCACATGACGATAGGGGGCGAGTGCAGATGGCACTCCGAACCCGCGGAAGGACTCATGGAGCGGCTGAAGGCCAACTCCCGCCTGACGGATACGACTTTAGTCTGAAGGCACCGCTAGGAGTTCAAACCAGGACTCATGGCGTCGTAATTTCAATCCCCGTTTGAATTGGACGGGGGATCGACGTGAGGGAAAATTGCTATTAACAAGTAGGAGTTGATTGTAGAAAGAGGAAAAATTAGAGTAGAAATTGACGAAATCGAAGTTCTTTGCTGATGATTTTCGACAAAATCCACTCGGGTTATTATTATTTTAACTACTTTTAATTGAAAACCAAGTATAACATATACGGCTGCGATAACATATAATAAATAGTATATACTATTGGGAAAAAGTGGATTGTCAGTAATATGGACTTTTGACACCATTGTTAGCAATGTACCATCTCGGGTTGACCTCTACTCAATTGCACCTGAAAACCATAATAACTAATTCTTGGAGAATTTGTCAAGGTGACCAGACCTCATGCTCATTTGATCATCCTCCACTGTTGCTGCATCAGCGTAATCCGTCAGTGCAGAAGGGTACACCATTCCATATCATCCGTAAGAACACACCGACGTTCACACACCGACACCGTGTTGGACTCCTCGCTCGGTACAAACATTTCTATTGGTACTAAACCGCAAGACCACCAAGGTTGTGGATCTGAATGATGATAGATCCGTCCGTGTCTTTCAAGAACAGGTGCTATTTATTAAGATTATGTTAATGTAGTCCATGACTGCGTTGGTTATCCATAATAATACAAATTTTAAGTATAAATATACTGATTAGCAGTCTTTTCAAGTATAACCAATATATGAAAAAGTCTAGTATTACATTTACCACACCGTAAATAGTAACAATGTCTTTGACTACACCCCCTCTGTATTTAAACAGGATTTTAAACTGCTCCATAAGTCTTTTAAGTCTAGCTAGTTAGTTCATAAGCCTTTCTGTAGATATAAATGCCCTTTACACTCGCCCCTATTTTGTCCGATGAATTTATAAACCTCAACTACAGCTCAAAAAACCACCAATTCAAATAATAATGAGAAAATTTTAATTCACTTACAGATTCACCAGTGATGCAGATATTAATAGCTGTTATAGTAGCCTATACGTCCATTCAATATGCACACTCTATTGATTTGAATATACCTGATGTAATAACAAATTTGGGAGATAATTCTATATCGGAAAGAAGAGATAGAAACTTCACCGAATTAGTGGATTACGATGGATACACTAGCGAGAGTTATACAGTTACTACTGTGGATGGCTACATACTCTCCATATTCCGCATACCAGTAAAAGAATCGTGCAAGGATAACACTAATTTGGAACCTATCATCTTTGTGCATGGTCTATATTTAAGTGGAGATGACTGCATTATACCAGGACCTGGTAAAGCGCATTGTTACATATATGCTGATGCCTGCTACGACGTGTGGGTAGCAAATAATAGAGGCAACAGGTACAGCAGAAAACATATATCGCTAAACCCCGACAAAGACCCTAAATATTGGAACTTTTCTATTGACGAAATGGCTGCCTACGATTTGCCAGCCATAATAGATTTTGTACTGCAAAAGACAAATAAGAAACAACTTTATTATGTGTCTCACAGTCAAGGTGCTGGCATACTGCTACTGCTGTGTGCTAAACAGCCAGAGTATAACAGCAAAATTAAAATAGGCTTTGGTATGTCACCCACTGCGTGGTTAGAACACTCTAGATTTATAGATGTAAAAGTTCAAGGAGCAGCTAGTGAAATTCTTAAAACAGCAAATAATGAAACTAACATGGAAATTCTGGCACACGGTGGACTTATTCAAACAACGGGTAAATTGTTATGTGGAAGTAAAATATCATATGCGGCCTGTTCTGCTCTTATCTTCTTACTTCTAGGCTTTAACGAATTCCAAATCACAATCGATGTTTTACCCGTTGCTGTAGGACATTTTCCAGCAGGTAGTTCATTGAAAAACTTCCTAAGATGGGGCCAAATGGTGACAAATGGCTTTGCCGAATATGACTACGGTGCTACAGAGAATTTGAAATTGTATGGACAAGAAAAACCTCCCTTGATAGATCTAAGTCCAGTGACGATGAGATGGGTATTCATTGTGAGTGAAAACGATTATGTATCAGATGTGAAAGACGTCGAGACACTAGTTTCAGCTTTAACTCACTCTGACGCCGAGATGTGCATCTTAGCAGATAAGACATTTGGGCATGTCGACTACGTGTATGCTGACAATCTAGCCAAATATGTAGCACCTCAGATCTTGTCCGCTGTGAAAAGCGGCAAATTCACATGCAATTCTTTACCTGTACCAGTTGTATAGTCTATTTTTCTTACATTTTTCTATTCTACTCTCTATAGTACTTTGACTATCAGACTGCTTAGTATATATTTATGAAACATATTATAGCATCTCTTAGGTATATATTTTACTTTTCGAATTGTGTGTATTTTGTTGCATTTTGTTTGTCATTAATTATATTTACACAGTCAACCACTACCTACTACCTACTACCTTTTGTATTGTATGCATTGAAGTAAAATAAATAAATAGTGTAATCATAAACGATGGTTCGTCTTCATCATCATCATCTCAGCCCCGAAAATGTCCACTGCTGGACATAGGCCTCCCCCAAAGATCTCCAAGATGGTCGGTCCTGCGCTGTTCGCATCCATCGCCATCCAGTGATCTTGACCAGATCCTCGGTCCACCTTGTTGAAGGCCTTCCCTTGACTTTATTGACCCAACGGCCATCTGTCCTACGAGTTATTGCCACTTCAGTGTTGCAATTCTTCGATGGTTAAACGATAAATCCCTTTTTCTCACACAATCATAAAACAAGTAGGATTACAGTGCGACTAAAGTTAGTTTAAGAAACAATTTTATTAGATAAAAATGTCTGTGATGTTGTTATTGTGAAGTAACTTTATTAAAAATACAGTTGTTTTTCCCTGTTGAGCTGTTATTAATTTTGTCTCTTGACAAATTGTTGTACCTTAAGACATTATTATTATATTATATATATTATTTATAGATGATACCTGATATTATAATATCAGAATGAATAAAAATGTAGATATGTTTATACTTAAAAAACCAAATTTATATTTAACATGTGTCGCAATATAGGTGTAGACTCAGTAACGGTCGGAATTTGCCATTCACCATTAGCGAAAGGCGTAACGGTAGTCAAGTTTTCGCACTGAATATTTAGTCTCACACATGCTAATTGTAGAGGAATTAAACAAAATAATATAAATGCATTAAGTAGTGAAATGGACTTACGCAAAATTGTTATTTTGCGTACGTAAGTAAGTAATAAATATTACAATAAACATAAAGCAAAATATAGATTTTTTTATCAAATTAGGAACACCTAAATTGATAAAAAAATCTATATTTTCGCTAATGGTGATCAAATTGCAATCGTTACTGAGTCTACCCATAATGCAACATATTGCTATTACAGATTTTTTTATCAAATTAGGAACAACTAAATTGATAAAAAAAATCTATATTTTGCCTTATGTTTATTGTAATATTTATGCAGTGAGATTAATTTAAATCACTTTCCTGTAGAATAATTATCATATCATTAATGATAATACTTTTTAAGGAATATGATTACAGACTAATGCAGTCGATGTGCACAAAATAAAATCTTAATCCTTTCTAATATAAATGCGAAAATAACTCTGTCTGTCTGTCGCGCTTTCACGCGAAAACTACTTAACCGATTTAAATAATATTTAGTACACAGACAATCTAGAACTCTCGACCCTAATGAAGGACATAGGCTAACTTTCAATGCGAAAAAGGGTTGTAAGGGAATTGAACTGGTAAATTAATGGTTGTATCGTAAGTATAAGACTGTTGATAAAATATAAATAAACATAACATTCAAAGGTTGTGTAAATTTTACCCTAAAGAGGGTAAAATACAATAAATAATTAGGGGAAGAAAGTTTGCATGAACATTCGTCATTTTTTTTTTGGACATTTCACACATCGCCATCTAGACCCAAGTTAAGCTAGCTAAAGCTTGTGTTATGCGTACTAGACAACTGATACAAATACAGATATTTTTTTTTCGTGAATACATACATATTATACATAGAAAATACCTAGACCGATACAAACAATCATACTCATGACTACAAATGTTTGTGCCGTGCGAGGAATCGAACCCAAAATTTTTGAAGCTAGAACGTTGAGACATTGACATCTTTGGTTAGATTATTAATTTTTTCTTTATTTAGTCTAGGTGAGATATTCCACGCGAACAAACTCGCGGGCACATGTAGTTCTCTTTATATTACAAAAATATGTTATTTATTCGAATTGTTATTGTAAAGAAAGTAATTGAAGGAATCATATTCAGACTGTGGCTTCCCAATAGGTATAAAGTAAACATACAGCACCTAAACAAATATTTTCAATACTCAAACATTAAGTAAAGACGTAATTTTATTTGTAATAAACAGTTCCATTGTAACAATCCTTTAGTGTCATAGAAACACAAACTGGCTACTCCTTTTCAACCTACTTCAAAAAATAGAGTAGTATCTAAATTTGATGGTATTTATTTTATGAGTATTAATTACTTCAATACTTTTTTCTGCATGAACTCTTTTAATAGTCCTTTTTCATTTGAAAGCTGGTACTTGTCATGTGGACACGTATTTTTTTATTCATGAGTATTGGTTTATATTAGTCTAAGTATTATCTATGTACTCGTATATTATATATTTAAAAAAATGTGTTTAAATATTTCTATGATTTGTCTAGTACCCACAGCACAAGCTCTGCTTAGTTTAGGACTATGTGGAACTATGTGAATTGTCCAGGTTTATTATTATTAATAAGTGATTACGTCCATCCATTTTTATTTAAATATACTAAAAGAAATGTGAGTATGTAAAGTATTACATATACCACGATATCGACAGTTGGCGACGTCTCTTATTACTTCATCTGCCATAAGAGTCGTGAAGGTAAATAAATATATAAGATATTTTATTTTCGGACTACTCAAACCTGTTGACCGCAGGTGCGTGCTGGCCAGCTGGCCTTTACAGATTCACCGGACGATAGGCGAATGCAGATGGCACTCCAAACCCGCGGAAGGCCTTATGATGCGGCATGTATTATACATATAAACCTTCTTCTAGAATCACTCTATCTATTAAGAAAACGCATCTAAATCTGTTGCGTAGTTTTATAGATTCAAGCCTACATAAGGACGGATACACAGCGACAGCGACTTTGTTTTATACTACGTAGATTACAAGACATAAATATATAACACATCAAAACATGTTACGTCTTTATCGAAATCGGTTGAAATTGGATCAGTATTAAAATAGCTTATCTACGTACGAAAGTAAATGACGTAAATGTATGTATGTGTATGTTGTAAAAATTTGGTATCCAATTCAATATGCCGTTGGAACATTGAGGTATTAGGTATTATAGCAAATAGAGAAATAGAGAAAAGGTAACAATATAAGCAGTTAGAATAACTTTTCATTTTTTCACGATATATAACGAGATTTATTGTAAAATCGACACTAGTTATTATGTCTGTCAATCTAAAAATATATAACTCAAAGGTGACTGACATAGTGATCTATCAACGCACAGCCAAAACCACTGGACGGATCGGGCTGAAATTTGGCATGCAGGTAGATGTTATGACGTAGGCATCCGCTAAGAAAGGATTTTGATCAATTCTACCCCCAAGGGGATGAAAGTTTGTATGAAACTTTGTCAATTTTAAACCGATCGGGCTAAGATTTTGCATGCATAAAGCACTACTATGACGTAGGCATCTCCTAAGAAAGGATTTTGCGAGCGAAGCCGCGGTCAAAAGCTAGTTATTATATGTACGGCCAAGACTACGGCCGCCCTCCGCAACATCTGCTGGTTGTAGTCGTATTGATGATTATTAAATTATTACGAATAATAATTCAAATCCAATAATCATTTATTCATGTAGGTCATTTTAGCCTCTTATGAACGTCAAATTTTTTACATTATAATTTTAATTTTTTCCCTACCGTCCAGTTCAGTAAATAGATCCAATTGAGAAGAACTGGCAAGAAACTCAATTGAATTACTTATTTTTTTAAAAAGACAAATTATTTTTATAATGTATATTTATGTAGGTGTCTATGTCTAACATTATCTAACATTAATAATAAAACTAATAGTATTGCAATGTAGAAAGAAGCGCCGCTCATCACGCGATAAAATTTTAAAGGAAAAAGGAAAGGTGGATACTCTACCTCTTTGAAGTTTTCAAACATAATATATAGTTGTTGTAATAAGTGCCTCATAATAATAGGTCATATTATTGTCTTTTGATTTTATACACTCTTCCTTCAGACAAAGAAAAATTTTAACAAGAACTATATTATATAAGTCAGGGGTGAGCAACCTTTTTCATTAACGGGCCGATTTAAATTGTAATTTTATTGGCGGGCCGCACATAATAAAAATAATAATAATAATAATTCTTTTATTGGAACTAAAAATATATAATATTTTACAAAGTAATGTAATTTTTATTAGTAATTTAGATAACTTTATTTATAATAAATAGTAGACTTTTTTATTTATTTCAAAAAAATAAAAAGAAGGTATAAAGTAAATCTTTTATATATATACAAATTTTAATGGTAAATAATAATAATAATCTCAGGACAATTCACACAGCGCCATCTAGACCCAAGTTAAGCTAACTAAAGCTTGTATTATAGATACTAGATAACTGATACAAATACATAGATATATATTTTTTCGTAAATACATACATATTATACATAGAACACACCCAGACCGATACAAACAATCATATTCATGAATACAAATGTTTGTACCGTGCGAGGAATCGAACCCGTGACCACTGGATAGTAAAGTAGACCACCGAGGCCGTCAAATAAAAACTCGCGCAGACACAGGGACGTGTTGCATGGTGTGAACAAATCGCCGAGAAGTGAGTGACTAGTAAAAAAAATGTTTCCATTTAGTATGTAGTACCATTTTAATAAAATAGTATTGAATTTACGAAAAAATAAACTCAATTTTAGAAATGCTTGGCGGCGAGCATGACCAGGATTCACGGGCTGCGTGTTGCTCATCCACTCATCTGCTTCTTCCTTATCCCATTTATTTGTGGTCGGCGTAATATGTTTTTCGTTTCCATTCATCCCTGTTCGCAGTCATCGCGTTATTTACTTCCTTTCTCACCATATCATCTCTCACACAGTCCATCCATCTCTTTTTCGGCCTTCCTCTGCCCTTATAACCATCCACATTCATTTGTAACATCTTTCTCAAAATATTATCCTCGTTCCTACGCATTACATGTCCATACCATGATAGACGATTACTCTTCAACCTCTCTGACACCGGTGCCACTTTCATACTTCCTCTAATGTATTCATTCTTTTTCTCATCCATTCTTGTCACACCACACATCCACCTCAACATTCTCATTTCAGTTGCATGCAGTCGTCTTTCATCCGTCGCCTTTACGGTTGTCATCCACTGATATAACTAAAACTGTCCTAGACAAGGAAAAACTTCTAAAAATTCCCATAGAAACGGTAAACGTATAACTACTGGATTCAGTATTAAGTTAGTTCAGTATAAAGACAGGATAATTGGTATAACTACAGGCTGTGGAAATGTGGCTAGTGCGCGGGATTGACCAATAGTCACGAAATTCGTGCTGGCGCGGCGACCTACACTTTTAGAAGTACGGATATAGATTGTAATATTGTTTGTATAAGATATAACAATGCTCTATATTGTTATATGAGTGTGTATATACATATGCGTCTACTAAACAAACAGGCCTCCAAATTATAGAGCCTTATATCTGTCATTTAGATTAATTAACAGTTGGAGATTGGACTAAAATTTAAATATTAATTACATTTTAAATATTGTACATATATTGGTAAGTCTATAGCACATCATCATCATTACATAGTATAAAACAAAGTCGCTGTCGCTCTGTCCCTATGTATGCTTAAATCTTTAAAACTACGCAACGGATTATGAAGCGGTTTTTTTAATAGATAGAGTGATTCTAGAGGAAGGTTTATATATATATAATACAGGTACACCCGTGCGAAGCCGGGGTATGTAGCTAGTCATTACATAGTATAAAATAAAGTCGCTGTCGCTGTCTGTCTCTATGTATGCTTAAATCTTTAAAACTACGCAACGGATTATGAAGCGGTTTTTTTAATAGATAGTGTGATTCAAGAGGTAGGTTTATATGTATATTATTATATATCTATGTGTACATACACCCGTGAGAAGCTGGGGTGAGAAGCTAGTTAATACATAAAGATGATAGTGTCTTAGTCTAGTGGTTTAGTACCCCAATTTATAGATGACATAAGATCAAATCTGAGAGCAAAAATATTTTGTATCAATTTAAATTTCGGACTAATTCGATTTCTAGATCGGCCACAACGATCTAAATAAATCAAAGACTCGATGCCGAGCTCACCCTCTACGAAGTCATTATCAGCCCGTCAGAGCTTGTGTTATGATTACTAGGTATATAAATACTTAGACACATTGTTTTGCTGATGAGCTATGCAACACAAAATATTTTTTTCAATTCAAACCAAGCATTTCCAGAGTTGAGCGCTTTCTTCCAAACTCATAACCTCAGACAACGACGTCCTCCTTACGAGTAGATATGTTAATTGTTTCTTGCTATACGTTGTATCAATTAGACAAGCCATTAAAAATTCATTCATTTTATCTGTATAGCCTTGAACGTTACAATATAAATTAATTTCCTGATTCTAATCCATCAGCTTTATTTAGAAAGTGGTTCGTAATAAACATTTCATATTTAGTGTTAGCTCCTTCATAGTTTATTGCCCATGTCTACAATATCTCTAATAATACAATAATAATAATAATCTCAGGACAATTCACACAGAGCCATCTAGACCCAAGTTAAGCTAGCTAGAGCTTGTGTTATGGGTACTAGATAACTGATACATATACATAGATATTTTTTTTTTGTAAATACATACATATTATACATAGAAAACACCCAGAACGATACAAACAATCATACTCATGTATACAAATGTTTGTGCCGTGCGAGGAATCGAACCCGCGACCATCGGTCGTAAAGCGGTGTGCTTGACCGCTAAACCACCGATCTCTATAATATTGAATTTCAGATAATAAACGAAATGTTCACTTACAGATTCAAGACTATAAAGATATTAATACCAATTTTATTAGCGTGCGCTTGCTTTAAATATGCACATTCGAGTGAACCGACTATTCTTGATGATGTAACTAATTTGGGAGATGAGACTATATCGGAAAGAAGAGATAGAAACTTCACCGAATTAGTGGATTACGATGGATATACTAGCGAGAGTTATACAGTTACTACTGTGGATGGCTACATACTCTCCATATTCCGCATACCAGTAAAGGAATCGTGCAAGGATAACACCGACCAGGAACCTATTATCTTCATGCACGGTCTATATTTAAGTGGAGATGACTGCATCATACCAGGTCCTGGTAAAGCGCACTGTTACATATATTCTGATGCTTGTTACGACGTATGGGTACCCAACAATAGAGGCAACAGGTACAGCAGACAACATACATCATTAGATCCCGATAAGGATTCTGAATACTGGAACTTTTCCATTGACGAAATGGCTGCCTATGATTTGCCAGCCATTATAGATTTTGTATTGCAAAAGACAAATAAGAAACAAGTATATTATGTGTCTCACAGCCAAGGTGCAGGTATACTGCTAATGCTGTGTGCTAGAAAGCCAGAATATAACAGCAAAATTAAAATAGGTTTCGGTATGTCACCCACAGCGTGGTTAGAACATTCTAGATTCATCGCTATCAAAGTGCAATCTGCAGCTAATACAATTCTTAAAACAGCAAATAATGAAACTAATATCGAAATTCTGCGTTATGGCGGCGTAATTCAAACGGCTGGCAAATTGCTATGTGGAAGTAAAGTATCGTACGCGGCCTGTTCAGCTCTCCTCTTTTCGGTTCTAGGCTTTAATAATTTCCAAATCACAATCGATGTCCTACCTGTTCTTACGGGGCATTTTCCAGCTGGAACTTCGTTGAAAGTCTTCACGCGGTGGGGCCAAATGGTGACAAATGGTTTTGCCGAATATGACTACGGTACTAAAGAGAATTTGAAATTGTATGGCCAAGAAAAACCTCCCTTGATTGATCTGAGTCCAGTGACGATGAGATGGGTATTCATTGTGAGTGAAAACGATTATGTATCAGATGTGAAAGATGTTGAGACGCTAGTTTCAGCTTTAACTCACTCTGACGCGAAGATGTGTATCCTAGCAGATAAGTCGTTTGGTCATTTAGACTACATCTATGCAGACAACCTCGCTAAATATGTCACACCGCAGATCTTGGCCACTATCAGGACTGGCAAATATGCATGCAATTCAAATATACCACTTTTGTAAATTGTAATCTTATAGTAAAAGATATATTAAACCCACTTCAACCAACCCCAAAAGTAGGAAGTCCACAATTCTGTAATTTTATTATTTGTTATTTTTCTAGCTAATAATCTACATCTTGACCTGGCAACCGCCGCTGAATACCAATACGACATGTATAAAGATTTCAATATTCTTAGTTTCCTTCGTATTAGGGTGATACTCAGAAAGCTAAGCTAGAGTATGTTTTTTATTGAGGGATTTGGACTACTCAGTGTTTTATTTTTTTTATTGATTTATGATAATGGTATGGTGCACCCGCCTGCGCTAACGGTTTACGCTGGCGGGGTACCAGTGGAGGATGATCAGATGAGGTCAGGTCAGTTTGTCCATCGTGACATATTTACCAGAAATTTATCACGATGGTTTCCAGGGGGAACCGCGTGGAGGTCAACCTGACATAGTACATTTAGTAATGGGGTCATGATTCCACATTACTAACAATCCCTTCCCCCCACTACTGGGTGTTTCAGACCTGTAGCACTGCAATCTACAAAGATCTATTGTGCTTGACCTTTTTTTCAGAGTTCGCTTCATAGGCAGGTCAGGGTCAAGAATTTAAGGATATTCTTAGAAGCGATGGTTTTTATCTCCTCAGGATGTAGTACGTTCCAAAGGAGATATTTCGTTTATATATGAGTGGGTTACAACCACACTGTTGTGGTGGGGTTCTTTTTTGTTGAGATGATATGTTTACTAATAAATAATATATATGTTTGAAGCAGAATAATTCTATTGTCTCCTTTTATAATATATTTACAATAATGTCAATCAGTATTTGACAACAACTATTATAAAATCGTAATCGATGAGGAGGCCGTATATACTTGTAACATACATAGCATATGTTGTGGCGTTACCTCAAAAACAAAATTTACAAATAGTAGAGAAAATAATGCATTCAAAGATAATATGCAACCCGAACAATGTACCTAATGCATGACGTCTTTAGAAACTCATTAGTTACAAAACGAGCAGGCACTTAACGATGTGCATAAGTGAGCAGTTCAGTTAAGTATAAAGCAAACTAACTACCCGTTGTTATTAGTAGGTATATGGTCTAAATTAATATTTAAAAAATTAAAGAATAAAGATTAGATAATTATAATCTCCATGGTAATTCACACATGGGTACTAGACAACTGATATAAATACATATACATTTTATAAATACATACATAATATACATAGAAAACACCCTTTTTCTATGTATATTATGTATGTATTTACGTATTTACATCTGTTAGTACCGATATGGTATTTGTGTAACACTTATGATTACAATAAAGCAGGTAAAGCAAAAATGACAAATTATTAAAATATTGTGTCCAATAATCTATATTTATACAATTTGAATCTACGGAATCCAACTGACTGACTGGTCATACGCATCACCCTAGGTACGTGAAGGTTGGGGCCTCGGGGCAAACTCCTTTACCCCGGCATCGACTGTGGAGGCAACAATCTCTGGGTGACTGGATTAAAGCCTTTTAGGGCGAGTATAAAATTAACAACTTACCTTACTGTCAATGTCAATATTTTCTTTTATGTCAAACTTATTGACAGCTGACAAATCGTGCTCGGGCACAGAATTTCAGTTCTGCTTCTGACAATTCTGTCACTTCTAATTTCACTACAACACTGATGGGAACAATTGTAAGTATGTAAAACAAATATTAGGGAGATATTTTAGGTTAAGATAATTTAAATTGAGATGAATTCGATTGTTTTAATATCCGTAGAGGATTAGGTTTACAGACTAAAAACACAAGAGCACAGACACTAGCATCCTAAAAGAAACTGGATCACTCGAAAGTAGCAAGCTTGCGAACTAAAAAATAACAAATAAAACATTAAAATTTTGGTAAAATGTGATCACCTTATACGAGACATGCTAATAGTACTTAGTGAATTTTAAACGAATTTAGAGCAATTAGAGGAAAGCATGACGGTCATCTGGCAACATTGGTTTTGACATTTATGTTATTAATCTGTGTTTTATTTTCATTTGAATTGTTTTCGTTGTATTGTTATTAGAATATTTAATAAAAGTTTATTACGGTCAAAAAGGTCATATAAAGAAATTGTAGTTGTATATTATATGAGCGATCTTATTTATACCAATGAGAAAATATTATAATAAACATGGCCAGTATCTATAGAGGGAATATAATAATAAAGTAAGTAAACAGTGACTTAGTTGACCAAATTTTTAACTTCTTGCACGTCAGCCTTTTAGTTTTTATTACATAGTGAATCAATCTTACCGTGAGAAATAATTTTATAAATTATATTTCAATAAGATGCCATATATATAATAAATAACTTTTATCTGTTTATTATTTACGGATTCAACATCAAGTTCTACATGCATTAAAATTACGACATGCAAAAATTGGCTACTTCTTGATAAATAATACTTGTTTATTATTGTGTGTATTCACTACTATGTACACAAAATATAGTGATCCAATAAAACTGCAATAAAGTATTTTTTTTTATTGGGTTGTTTGGGCTATTGTCAGAATCAGATGTTTGTAGCACCTGTAGCACTGCGACCTACATAGATCTATTGTGCTCGCCCTCTTAAAAGCAATAAAGTAGCTTAAATACTTTCTTTCTACAAATATCGACCATAATTATTTCATTTTTATTTCAATTTATTTTTCACTATTACTTTGCAGGTGTATAAAAAATACTAAATATGCGAACTTCACACCAATTGCCTTAAGAAATTTTAGCAAGCAACATGTTGATAAAAAACATATTACTGAAGAAAAAGGCAAAGGGACTTATGGCAAACATGCTACCATTGCATTAATCAGTTCGGTGCTAATAGGATCAGCTGTTAAAGGTTTGTTAATAAATAACATTTAATATATACAAAATTTTTGTTATCTGTGTAATGATCACACAGTTTACACTATGACTTAGACCTAAGCAAATACTGTGATATTGTAATGCATTACAGCACGTAGTATAATAGATTGTGCCAGTGTATGTTGGATAAGTAACTTTATCTGACGTTACAATCATGAACATGTGTGCCGAAACACATAAAATTAACTCCCCTTACAAGTTGACCAGTATCATTATGAAGCTGTAAACTCTGGCTTCTTATGATGCATTTGCTAAAACAATAGTGTTTTAGCAAATGCAAATTAAAAAACATAAAATATATTATATATAAAGATATAAAAATATAACATATACCTATGTATATATAAATATAAACTATTCCATATATAAATAATGTAAATATGTATGTGTGTCATCTATATAAATATATAATAAACACCTAGTGAAACACAACTAGCCCTATGAAAACTTCTGCTATATCAAATTGCAGCTGAAGTCAATATGTTAATAAGAAAGAATGTCAGTGAAACATATAAAATTAAAAAAATCTGACGTCACATAGTCATGTAATGTTCAATATAAATAATTTTAATAACTGGACTAGAATTAGAGTAAATAAAGATGTAACAGTTAAACACAAGTTCCACCCTATTCTGTGTATATTTACTCTCACCACTGATTCCTGTCATCACAATAAGAATAGTCTATTTCACAACACAAGAGACAATACACAAAATGCATGTGACTTATTCTATCAAGTTAAAAAAGGTATAATAGGCAAAATGTGTGAGCATTATACTTTTAAATTTTTTGTTTATGGATGATAATGTTATGTTGCATATGTGTGCACTAACGGTTTACATTGGCGGAGCACCAGTGAGGTCAGGTCAGTTGGTCTCTCAAGACAAATTCACTAGGAATTTCTCAGGACAGTTCCCAGAGCAATGTACTATACATTGCTATCAAGATCCTATTAGTCAACATCAAGGTTGTCTGTAAAACAAATAAATAAAAAAAAGATTGCTTTAAGGTCCCCTTTTGTTTAACATATTTGTGATGTTTGATGATGATGGTTTCCGGGGGGAAACCATGTAGAGGTCAACCTGACATGGTACATTGCTAGCAGTAGGGTCATCAGTCTACATTACTACCAATCTTCCCCCTCCCAGAGTGTATTCATCACATGGATTTCACCATGAATTCAACATTAGTATATTTAGTTGGCACTATAAAAAACTTGTGCTATCCTTACTCCTTACTAATATTATAAATGCAAAATGCTCTGTCTGTCTGTCTCGGTTTCACGCCAAAACTAGTGAACCGATTTAAATGAAATTTGTTACACAGATAGTGTAGACCCTGAGAAAGGACATAGGCTACTTTTTAATGCGAAAAAGGGTTGTAAGGGGTTGATAGATGCAAGGTTGTATGGAAGAATCGTCATTTTTACAATTAGAAGCTTTTAATTTATTTTTAGGCTATTGATTGAGTTTGATGGAATTATATATGGAAATTCATACTTTTGGATGCTAGAATGATGATTTTGTTATTTAGCTTTTATTGTGTTAGATTATTAATTCATTATTTAGTCACTATTTTATGTGGACGATGTCGCGGGTACAGCTAGTAATTTATATTTCTGACTGTGGTGATTTATTATTGTTCATATATAGTTTTTTTTCAGAACACATCAATAATAAAGAGAAAGACTCCACTATCAAATTCGTAGCAGGCGAAAAACGACCCGACTTGCCAGTGTACAGAGCTGAAGAAGTTAGTAAACATGACAGCAAGTTAGTTCTGTTTATTGTGTCAACTCATCTCTTATAGAAGGGAGGAGATTATTAATAATAGAGATAGGGGAGGGATCGGATTACATTTGACTTTTTTTTTTAAACTGCGTTTCTGCGCGTGCGAAAAGAATGTACATGTAAATATAGATAAAGAAAACGAGAAATATCTCGTGCGCCGCGAGCTGGCGCATTTCTACGTCCTTTAATCGTGCGTGCGAGAGAGTACACACAAAAAGCAATGAAACGCAAGCACTCACGTTTGTGTGAGCTGGTTGTTCTGTGCATACTTACCGTCTCTCGATTGCGCGTCAAAAAAAGCGTCCAGATATGTGGCGGCGTGGTGGGCCGAGTCAATGGGCTCCCTAAAATATGGTCGAGCGCAGTGATGGCTGGCTCATCCGTCATACTCGTGAACGAGTGCTGCTTGTAGGGACTAGTCTACTCTTATCACTACGACTGATTTAATCTCATTGTGTTTTTATATTTGAATCTAAATAAAGTGCTGGTTGGTAGTTTGTATTCACACGTTTCGACTTGAATGTGAACTTACAAGGATTGTTTAAAAGAGCAACACACAAGTTTCTTGCTTATTCTTCTTGTGATGAGACAGCTTTCCGAATAAGCGGTAGATTTAAAAAAAAATTGTTGACTATTCAAAAGTGCTTAAATTAAGTTTATTTGAATAAATTATTTTCTGTTCTATTCAATAGAATAGAACAGAAAATAATTTATTATATTATACGCAGAATACTGCGTCGCGTAAATGTAGCTTTTGAAATTGTCATAATCATAATTTTAATTCTTATAGACACTCATATATTATCTTTTATATAAAATTCTCGTGTCACAGTTTTCGTTCCCATACTCCTCCGAAACGGCTTGACCGATTCTCATGAAATTTTGTGAGCGTATTGAGTAGGTATGAGAATCGGCCAACAACTATTTTTCATCCCCCTAAATGTTAGGGGTAGTCCACCCCAAATTTTTTTTTTTATAATATTAATTTTACAGGAAAAGTTTCTGGGTAATATACAGAAATGGAGTGTATGACGTGACGAAATTCCTTGCATCGCATCCTGGTGGAGACCAAATATTAAACGCAGCCGGACTGAGTATAGAACCATTTTGGAATGTGTATGGCATGCATAAAACACAGGAGATTTATAAACTCCTGGAGCAATATAGGATAGGTAAGCGACAAATAATAATGATTGAAGTTTATTTCTTTCAAAAACAAATATCTTTATTATTTCAGGACAATTCACACAGTGCTATCTAGTCCCAAACTAAGCAGAGCTTGTGTTATGGGTACTAGATAACTGATACAAATACATAGACGATTTTTTTAAAGACACGGCCTCTGTCAGCTGGCTGTTTAGCACACCATATCTTTATTATTTCAGGACAATTCACACAGTGCCATCTAGTCCCATGCTAAGTACAGCTTGTGTTATGGGTACTAGATAACTGATACAAATACATAGACGATTTTTTTTAAAGACACGGCCTCTGTCAGCTGGCGGTTTAGCACACCGATATACTTCTGATAGTCGCGAGTTAGATTCCTCTATTCAATCAGGACAATTCATACAGCGCTATCTAGTTCCAAACTAAGCAGAACTTGTGTTATGAATACTAGACAACTGATACAAATATGTAGATAATTCTTTTTGTAAATATATATGGCTTCTGTGAGCTAGCGGTCTAGCACACCGCTTTACTTCCAATGGTCACGAGTTAGATTCCTCGCACAGTACAAACATTTGCATTCATTAGTATGATTGTTAGTTTCAATCTGAGTGTATCTATGTATATTATGTATGTATTTACAAAAAATGTATATATAAGTATTTATATCAGTTGTCTAGTACCTATAACACAATCTCTGCTTAGCTTAGGACTAGATGGCGTTGTTTGATTTGTCGAGGGATTGTGCTATCATTACTCCTTACTAATATTATAAATGAGAAAGTAGGAATGTTTGTTATGCTTTCACGCAGAAACTACTGAACTGATCGTCATGAAATTTTGTACACATGTTTTTGGAGGTATTAGAATGAACATAGGACATTTTATTAAAGAAAAAAAACAAATATTTTTATAAAAAATAAAAACATAAAATAGCAACATATTGCTACTTCAGCGCCATCTACTATAACAGCCAGTAATGAAGTTATAATAAATTATGAATCAGCGCCATCTAGTTGCGAATATCAGCGAAGCCGCGGGTAGAAGCTATTATATAATTTTATTTTATCTTTACAAAGGTAATCTACATGATGACGACATTGTTGATCACTCTGATGATGAGCTTTGGGTCAAAGAGCCGTACAGAGACAAGCGGCTGATAGTGAAGACTTCAAAGCCATTCAATGCGGAAATACCTCCAAAGCTCCAGATCGAACACTTTGACACTCCCAAGTATGTCACTCTTTTTATTATTGAGAAACTAGCTACTAGCCCCGGCTTCGCCCGGGTATACATGTATATATATATATATATATAAACCTTCCTTTAGAATAATTCTATTAAAAAAACCCAAAAATCGCTACATCAAAATTCGTTACATAGTTTTAAAGATTTAAGCTGAGATACAGTATAATTTTATACTAGTTCAGATGGCAGAATTACACTTGTATGTTAAAATTATTGACTCTTATGTACAACTTAATTATGTAACGCAACCTTTAACTGCAATAAATATTATTATTATTATTATAAAAAAAAAAAAAAGATTTAAGCATACATAGGGACGGACAGATAGCGACAGAGACTTTGTTTTATACTATGTAATGATTAACATTAGCTACATTTACACGTTCTTTCACGCGTGAATCGGCTTTCGGAGCTAAATCACGCAGCTCTATTAGTGGTGTTTAGGCAGTGGCGTATTTAGGTAACCAAGGGCCCTGGGGCAAATCAAAAAATGGGCCCCCACTACTCACCAGTGGGGCCCTACATTATAGTTTTATTAAAACGCACATATCGCTAACCGTCAAATTGATAACACTGCCAACCCACAGAAGGAATTTAGGGGAATAGGAGAAATCCGAAGGTATAACTTTCGAATTTCTCTCAACTGAGTTGCCATGTTATAAGTTGGGTTGCAACCTGTCATATTTGTTTTGTAAATGGGAGAAATTTTCAAAAGTTCAGCTCGATCGAGATTTTCTGGTAAGGTTTCGAGGGCCCCTGAACTTGAGGGCCCCGGGGCACTGGCCCGTCTAGCTCCTAGGTAGGTACGCCACTATGGTTAGGTTTTTTTATATGGTAATGACATGGTCCACCCGCCTGAGCTAATGGGCTAACTGACCTGACCTCATGCTCATCCTATCATCCTCCACTGGTGCCCCGCCAGCGTAAACCGTTAGCGCAGGCAGGTGCACCATTCCATTATCATCCATAAAAAACGGTCTACGCTGGCGGGGCACCAGTGGAGGATGATAAGATGTGCATGAAGTCAGGTCAGTCAGCCCATCCTGACAAATTCACCAGGAATTTAACACTATGGTTTCCAGGGGGAACCGCGCGGAGGTCGACCTGACATGGTACATTGCTAGCAATGGGGTTATCAATCCGCATTACTAACAATCCCCTTTCCCCCACTATGGTTAGGTTAGGTTACCACAAATATTCAGTGCGGAAACCCTATTAGGTTAGGTTTCCCCACTGAATATTTATTCATTTATTCATTTATTTATTGCTATTACATGTTGTAACAAAATTGGTCTTAATTTACTAAAAGTATAGAATCAAACATGAACCCTGAAAGGGCACAGCAATCACATTAATAAATCTTATATAAACTACATAATTACATAATTAGATTTTTACATTATATATATGTATCGTCGATTAGTATAAAAAATCATCACTAAATTAAAAACAAACAGGCACAAACACAACTAACCTTTTTCCTTGAAAAATTCCTGTAGCGCATAATAACTCTTTGCGATTAAATATTTTTTTAGAGCTATTTTAAACTTTTTAGAATCATCCTCACCTTTTAAGTTAATTGGTATTTTATTGTAAATTTTTATTGACATTGCGTAAGGGCCAGAATGGAATAACTGTAGCTTCGAGAATGGTCTTGCTAATCTTTGTGGTCTCACACACGTTAGTAGTAGCTAAATGTAGCTGGACTTCCGCAAAATAACATCTAAATAGTAAACATAAATATTAACATAGTAAAACAAACATTATCGGGGTACAATGTAAAGTCAACTGCGGCCAAAAACAGAGTAGTCCGAAAAAAAACATGGGATACTTGCTGGTATTTTTGATACCCTCAGGCACTGCCATTCCCTATAGAAAAGAATAGTGTTAATACTCATAGTATTAATATCGCGCATACTGCCATAATGCGCTCATCGTCCTACTGCGGCTGCGCGCCGTCCCTATATTTTGGATCTGTGGCGCGTTGCATTTTGCGCGGGAAACACAATCTACAATTTAACTTCTAGAGACATTCTTCAAATATTGTACTTCTGATCACTAATTTAAGTATACTGTTCTTCATTACTATATATAGCTGTAAATTACTATTATTAGAATAAACTGCTTATATACAACCAAAACTGGCATATAAATAAAGCCCTTAATCATACCGCTAACAATAGAAAATACTTAATTCTAAAATAAATTTAAGTACTTTTGAATAGTCATATCGACTTTTTTTTTAATCTACCGCTCATTCGGAAGGATCTCTCATTACAAGAAGAACGAGCAAGAAATTTGCGTGTTGCTAAAATGTCTATGACGCGAGAAGACTGATCGTTGAGAAATCTATATCGTCCCAAGAGGAACGAGCAAGAAACTTGGGTGTTGCTAGAACGATTATGACGCGGGAACTTTGTCCACAGTGAATTATTTTACGTGCGGCAACACATGCCGGTTCCGGAAACGGATGCGGCCACGCACCGTCTGCGGGTGGTGGTCCGGGACAGGAGTACGAGGAGCTTCGAGTTCTCTCTGGCAGACTTGAAGCAGTTCACGCCTGTTAAATTACGGGCTGCTCTCATGTGTGCAGGGAATAGACGCAGTGAGATGGACAAGGTTAGGTTAGGTTAGAACATCCGATGGTCGGTGATTGCCTATGGTCGCGGGTTCAATTCTTCGCACAGTGCAAACATTTCTATTAGTTTCTGTTTGTAATATTGAAATAACCGTTTTTTACTACATGCATATGAATATAAATACGCCACATTCACCAAAATAACATTTTTTACATTGTTTGTCTGTCTGTCTGTTGTTCCGGCTAATCCATGAAATGGCTGGACTGATTTTGACGGGACTTTTATTGGCAGGTAACTGATGTAATAAGGAGTAACTTACCCTAAGTTACTCCTTATTACTACTTACTTTTATTTTAGATAAATATAACTTTATTTTTCTAAATTAGCTACAGCTAGTATACAAATACAAATAGTTTATTTCACAACTCAATATACAATACACAAAGTACATGAGCCTTATCCTTTTAAGTTTAACAACTTAAGCATCTCAAACGAGAACCTCTGGCGCATCAAATGTGTCCCTTATTGCCCTATCGCGAGTACCTCTCGCTGTTTATAAATATTATGTTTATTTTTATCTGGGGCGATACCTTCTCGCCCATTTGTATTTCATAAAGCTTATTAAATATACACCTTATTTATTGTATGCGTGTTCGAATTTAGTCCGTGCGCTTAAGAAGATTTTTCCACACCTTTTGTTGTTAAAAACGAAACATGTATAATGTATATAAATGCAGGTGAAACCTGTGAAAGGCATCAGCTGGGCGGGCGGCGCCATCAGTAACGCGGTGTGGGGCGGTGTCGCCCTGAGAGACGTACTCATCCACTGCGGGGTCGACGAACGCAGCCTCCAGGGGAAACATGTTGTGGTGAGATATATTTTTTAAGATGATTATGGAATAGTACACCCCTCTGCACTAACGGTCTACACTAACACAACTAACTACAGTGGAAGATGACAAGATGAACATGAGGTCAGGTCAGTCAGCCCATCTTGCCCAATCACCAACCAAATTCAACTGGAATTTATCACGGATATTTCCAGGAGGCACACCCCCATCCCCCGATGCCATAAATAAATAAATTGATGCCATAAATTCCATTACCAAGTTAGGTTGACCTCTACGTAGATACGTAGAGGTCATTGGCACATTGGAACATTGCTGACAATGGGGTTAATAGTACACATTACTTAGAATTCTCTTCACCACGTGAGTTACGTCTTTTTTGTGGATGATAATGGAATGATACACCCGTCTGTGCTAACGGTCTACACTGGCGGGGCAGCAGTGAAAAATGATAAGACGAACATTAGGTCAGATCTGTGAACCCATCATGACAAATTCACCAAGAAGTTATCATTATGGTTTCTAGATGGAAGGGCCTGGAGGTCAACCTGAAACATTACTGGTAATGGAGTTATTAGTACGCTTAATTTGAATTTAAAAATGAATCTGTATTCTTGTAAATATGTACAACAATTATTTGACAAGATTTGACATATCATAAGTCTGTAACAGACCTGATTAAAGATATTCTGTTTTCTAATCACTTCTCCCCATGAGATACGTTTTTTATGGATGATAATGACATGATGCGCTGGTGCCCCGCCAGCGTATACCGTTAGCCCAGGCGGGGCACCAGTGGAAGATGATAAGACGAACATGAGGTCAAGTCAGTTAGCTCATCGTGGAAATTCACCAGTCATTTATCAGGATGGTTCAAATTTAAATTCAAAAATCATTTATTCATGTAGGACATTTTAGCCGCTTATGAACGCCAAATTCTTTATATCATAATTTTTGTCTATTTTGTCCCTATCGTCCAGTTCAATAAAGATCCAATTGAGAACTGGCAAGAAACTCAATTGAATTACTTTACCTTTTGGTTACTAGAGAGAAACGACCTGTAAGTGTAAAAATTACAGGATACTGAAATATCACATTATAATCTAACAATAATACCAACGTGTATGTCAAAATACATCTCCCATGCATATACGAAGGATTTGTATGTTGTTCAAAGAATGCTATCAATTAAAATTACAACAATTTTGACATTTTAAAAACATTAAATTTCATGTAAACTTAATTAAAATTATGCATATCATATTCAGAGCTGTCTATCTCGGGAATGATGGATGAGTGACAGCGTATTAGGGGATGCTACCCTAGCTGTCATTTACTTAGGTGATTATGTTGATTATTCATAGGAAATAATTGTGTTGCGTTAGAATAGAAATAATCTTTATTCAAATAAACTTAATATAAGCACTTTTGAATAGTTACATTTTTTTATTCTACCGCTCATTCGGAATGCAGACTCATCTCAAAAATAATGAGCAAAAAGCTTGAGTGTTGGTCTTTTCAATAAATATTGTATTAATTAGATTTACATTAACAAGGATTAGGCATGCGACAATCAACATAGAAACCGCTACGCACTTAATCTCTGTTCAATCAGATAACATTGAAATCAGTAGTACGTTTTAATAACTTAGGATAACCGATACAAACAATCATACTCATGAATACAAATGTTTGTACCCTGCAGAGTATCGAACTAGTCACCATCAAATTCAAAACCATAGGAACATAGCATGTAGGACATTTTATGAGTGCAGTGTATGTGTGTATGAGTTATTATTATTATTTTCAATATTTCTATGTATTCATATCAATTATATACTGTTTTAAACTTGACGCGGTCATTATTTATACGTATAATTAGTAAAAATCACGGGATCTTACCACGTTTTATATTTATTTGCTGAGTTCCCGATATTTCGGTAGTGTTTCAACCACCATGATCACGGGTAAACTGGAACACGGGTAGATGGAAAATGAAATCTTTTTATGGGCAGACATATGCGTCTACCTTCACACGTCTTCGTTTGTTGTTACTACTGGAACTCGCTCGATATTCATCTCGGCAAACTGTACTCACAGTATCTTTACGTACATTTAATACACTTTTTGATCGCGTTTTTTGTTTTTGTTTAATTCAACCAATCACTGGATTCCAGGCATTAGAGAGCCTATAGCCGTCTTCTCGATTGAAATTTTTATATTTCTGTATTTCAGTGGCCTCTCTAACCATTCTTGGGATATAATGCCGTTCTGATGTTAATACTTTTTGTTGGTGTAGTTCATATCAATTGTCTAGTACCTCTAATACTAACTTTGCTTAGCTTGGGACTTATTATTTATATTGAGATATTATTACAATTGAGAAGAACTGGCAAGAAACTTAACTGAATTTGTATTTTTTATAAGCCAGTTAGTTTACATCCGAAGTAAAACAGTGTGTTAAACTGCTACACCACTGATGCCCTCAAATCATTCACATACCACGAATCGTAGTTCACAGGTAGTGACGTGGACGCGACTGGCGTGAACTTCAGCACGTCCATACCGCTGCGTATGGCGATGGATCCGGCCAGCCGGATAGTACTGGCGACTCACATGAACGGACAGCCGCTGCCGCCCGACCACGGCCGCCCACTGCGGGTGGTGGTGCCCGGAGCACCCGCCGTCCGTAGCGTCAAGTGGCTCGGTAACTGCACATTTTGTTTAGCACACCACTTCATATCCTGAGGTTACAGGCTCGATTCCTCGCACACGCCATTCTATGCGCAGCCGTCAAGTGACTAGGTAATTGCACATTTTGTTCAGCACACCGCTTTACTTCCCAAGGTAGCAGGTTCGATTCCTCAAACACTCCACCCTTATCCGCAGCCCCAAGTGGCTCAGTAACTACATATTTTGTACTTTTTTTTATTAATGGGTGTTGGTTAGTCATGGGTGTAAGAGCAGAGGAAGGCCGAAAAAGAGATAGATGGACTGTGTGAAAGATGATATGGTAAGAAAGGAAGTAAATAAAATGAAATTACAAACAGATATTTCAATTTTATTTATATATAACTTAACCTACCGTGGAAACAGAAAGTAGACGCATATGCCCAACGGTTGGTCCATGGAGTAAGATATATACGCTAAAGAGGAAGATGGTATATCTTCAGCATACCTTACTCTTGAGTATTTAATTGAATTAGTGCTAATTAGTAGTTTGTATTCACACACTTCAACTTAAAATGTAAAGTAACAATAAAATTATTTAAAAGAGCAACACGCAAGTTTCTTGCTCGTTCTTCTTGTGACGAGACAGCTTTCCGAGTGAGCGGTAGATTAAAAAAATGTGATGACTATTCAAAAGTGCTTCAATGTAAGTTTATTTGTATAAATAATTTTCTATTCTATTCTATTCTACTCCATAGAGTAGTACTACGTTATACTTTATTCCAGAATCAATAACAATTTCGGATGAGGAGAGTACTTCGCATTGGCATCAGAAGGATTACCGATCGTTCAATCCGTCCAAGACTTGGGAGACGGCAGACTTCAGCACCGCCCCGCCTGTCTACAGCCTGCCCGTCACGTCCGTCATATGCGATCCTCAGGATGGGGACACCGTCGCAGTGAAGGACGGATATATCGTAGTCAGAGGTGAGTAAGTGAGAGGACACTACATTTTGCATTCAGCATACGCGACTCACAGGATGGAGACACCGTCGCAGTGAAGGACGGATATATCGTAGTCAGGGGTGAGTAAGTGAGAGGACACTACATTTTGCATTCAGCATACGCGACTCACAGGATGGAGACACCGTCGCAGTGAAGGACGGATATATCGTAGTCAGGGGTGAGTAAGCGAGACGACACTACATTTTGCATTCAGCATACGCGACTCACAGGATGGAGACACCGTCGCAGTGAAGGACGGATATATCGTAGTCAGGGGTGAGTAAGTGAGAGGACACTACATTTTGCATTCATACGCATACGCGAATATATCACGAGACGATGGAGACGCGACTCACAGGTGGAGACGCAGTGAAGGACGGATATATCGTAGTCAGGGGTGAGTAAGCGAGACGACACTACATTTTGCATTCAGCATACGCGACTCACAGGATGGAGACACCGTCGCAGTGAAGGATGGATATATCCTAGTCAGGGGTGAGTAAGTTAGAGGACACTACATTTTGCATTCAGCATACGCAACTCACAGGATGGAGACACCGTCACAGTGAAGGATGGATATATCCTAGTCAGGGGTGAGTAAGTGAGATGACACTACATTTTGCATTCAGCATACGCGACTCACAGGATGGAGACACCGTCGCAGTGAAGGACGGATATATCGTAGTCAGGGGTGAGTAAGTGAGAGGACACTACATTTTGCATTCAGCATACGCGACTCACAGGATGGAGACACCGTCGCAGTGAAGGACGGATATATCGTAGTCCGGGGTGAGTAAGCGAGACGACACTACATTTTGCATTCAGCATACGCGACTCACAGGATGGAGACACCGTCGCAGTGAAGGACGGATATATCGTAGTCAGGGGTGAGTAAGTGAGAGGACACTACATTTTGCATTCAGCATACGCGAATCACAAGATGGAGACACCGTCGCAGTGAAGGACGGATATATCGTAGTCAGGGGTGAGTAAGCGAGACGACACTACATTTTGCATTCAGCATACGCGACTCACAGGATGGAGACACCGTCGCAGTGAAGGACGGATATATCGTAGTCAGGGGTGAGTAAGTGAGAGGACACTACATTTTGCATTCAGCATACGCGAGTCACAGGATGGAGACACCGTTGCAGTGAAGAACGGATATATCGTAGTCAGGGGTGAGTAAGTGAGACGACACTACATATTTTTTTAGAAATAATAAAGGTATGATGCACCCGCCTGCGCTAACGGTTTATGCTGGAGTGGTGAATGAAAAGATGAACATGAGGTCAGGTCAGTTAAACAATCGTGGCTTATTCACCAGGAATATATCACATAGCACAACACAACAACTAAATACATGTACTACAAATAAAATTCTAATTTTGTATATTAACTAGCTGTTCCCGCAACTTCCTCCGCGTGGAATTTAACTTTATTTTTCTAAAATAAAAGTAGCCTAAGTTACTCCTTATTATATCAGCTACCTGCCAAAAAAAGTCTTGTCAAAATCGGTCCAGCCATTTCAGAGATTAACCGGAACAAACAGACAGTCAGACAAGTAGTAAAAAATGCTACTTTAGTATATGTACCGTATTTATATTCAGACTAGATACTCGCCCCGGCTTCGCACGGATACGAGTATTATATATATATAAACCTTCCTCTTGAATCACTCTATCTATTCTATCTATTAAAAAAAACCGATTCAAAATCCGTTGCGTAGTTTTAAAGATTTAAACATGCATAGGGACGGACAGACAGCGACAGCCACTTTATTTTATATTATGTAATGATGATGCATGTAGTAAAAAACGGTTATTTCAATATTACAAACAAACACTCCAATTTAATTTATATGTATAGGTAACTTATCAGATAAAATACTTCTATGTTAAATTGCAGGATGTTTAAATTGACTTCATTGATGTTTTTAGTATTAGCTATTCATACAAAATTCAATAAAAAAAAAAATTAAGGTAACATATTATATTAGTAAATGGTATTTAATGTGATTTCATCAATTTAACAATCCCCTCGTCCTCGTACGTACAGGGTATGCGTACTCGGGGGGCGGCGCTAAAATCCTGCGCGTAGACGTGACCGCGTGTCACGTGACCGCCGGCACTGGACCCCCGCACTGGGAGGAAGCCACGCTCGCCTCCGACCCCGCCCCGCCGCGACTACACTACGCCTGGACGCTGTGGACTGCGAGGCTGCCAGTACCGCCCGCCGTCAAACAGGTGCTTCGTTATTTCTATTTTTTATACTACGAAGGTGGCAATGAAGCATACGGCCCGTCTGATGGTAAATTATCACCGTAGCCTATGAACGCCTGAAATACCAGGGGTATTACGTACCTCTTAAGAAACCTTAATATACTCTTCTTGAAAAACCCCATGCTGTAGTCTCGTGGGAAAACCTCGGCAGGAAGTTCATTCCACAATCAAAGTGTACGCGGGAGGAAGCTCCTCAGAAACCGCATTGTTCGAGACCACTTAGGTTCCAACGTGTGGGGATGAATTCCCTGTCGATGGCGAGAAATCATCATCTGCTTCTTCCTTATCCCATTTATTTGTGATCGGCGTAATATATTTTTCTCTTCCATTCATCCCTGTTCGCAGTCATCTCGTTAATTACTTCTATACTACTTCTACTTGTTATAGAACAAGTCTTTATTTATTTGTAATTTTTTTATGTGCAGGTAGAAATACGTGTGAAGGCGACCGACAGTAACTTCAACACTCAGCCCGAGAGGTTCGAGGATATATGGAACATACGCGGTATACTCAGCAACGCATACCACAGGATCACAGTACAACTCAAACGTTAGTAACATAGGGTTGCGTGTACATGACGACCACGAGGATCTCGACAGATTTACAAATAGTCAAGATGTCTAATAATCCAGTACTCAAATAGTCGAGATGTCTAATAATGCAAAAGTCAAATAGTCGAGATGTCTAATAATCCAGAAGTGAAATAGTCGAGATGTCTAATAATCCAGAAGTCAAATAGTCGAGATGTCTAATAATCCAGAAGTCAAATAGTCGAGATGTCTAATAATCCAGAAGTCAAATAGTCGAGATGTCTAATAGTCCAGAAGTCAAATGTCAAATAATGTAGCACATAATAGATGATCATAAAACTCAAGGAAAAATTAATTCTAGATAATTTTTGTCTGTACTGAATAATCCTGGCAACACATTTGAGTGAATAGCGAGATTTAAAATTATTAAAATTTAATTATAAGACATATGCATGCGCTGATTGCTATTACAAGTTTTGACACGTTTTCCGTGGTGATCAAATTCAGAACAGGGTCAAATAGAAATGAACTGTATGCATTGACACTTAAGTTTAATTTCGCATGTAGAACCAGAGCCTTATGATACCGTTACAGAAAATCGACGCTTAAGAAAATGAACTCTATGGCGTTGATATTTGAGTTTAAAACCAACAAAGAAAATTATTTCTTTTTTTTTACTAATGTAGGATCTCATAGCTTTTGTATTGTACTGTGTCAAGACTATACACAGAGTAATGCTATGAGGATCTACGTAGAGTCAAGTGAAGTGTCTATGTCCACAACTTTATAAATACTTTTCTACTCTAAGTAAATTAGTAAGAATGAGTACAAGTTTTTTTTTTAAGAATTTATGCATTTACTCTTATGAAGTTGTTGAATTTATAATGAATTCTTTATTGTTTGAATGTTTTTTCTATTCATTCATGACTATTGTATAATTGAATATTTTCTTTATTGTAACGGGATAAAATCCTGAACATTATTTTATTTACATATCTAGTCTAAAAGTACAGAAATATTATTTGGCATTCCAGTGATAATCATAATAAACTTGTTAGCAATATTACATAAGTACATTGTTTGTTTTTCAATAAAGTTTTTATTTTTTCTAACATGTGTATGTTATTATAATTTCGATATATGTTCTATAAAAAAAAATGTGTAAACAGTAATTTAATATAGCAATAATGTCCATGGGAGGTAATGAAATGAACACCCGCCTGCGTAAACTGTAAGCGTGTATAAATAGGGGCATCAGTGGAAGAAGATAGGATGAGCATAGTCAGGTCAGTTAGCGCGTCATAGAAGATTTATTAGGAATTTACCACAATGAGTTCAAAGATGGACCGCCTGAGGGATGTCATCTTCCGATTCCATTGCAATGAGGCCCCTCCAATCTCATAGCCGCGCCAACTACATACAGTAGTGTTTTTTTTATTTATATAACTGCACACAATATACAAAATATATTAAAGTACATTTGGCAGACTTAACACCATGCGGCATTTTCTACCAGTCAACCAAAATGCAACAAAATATAAATAGAACAATAAATACAATATATATCTAAGGAATAGAATCATAAATTACATAAATATATACAAATATTAAATTATACAAATATACAAATAAATATATACATACATATAATAAAATCAATATACACTAGATACTCAATAGTCTGACAGTCACTGAACTAAAGAGAGTAGAATAGAAGAAATAATGAAAGACAGAGAAATGGAAGTTATTATCTATTTTTTATATTTAGATTTTAATTTTTTTTTTTATATCTAAAGCTTTATTCATGGCCATTATCTAGATTTTAAGTGACATAGTGCTACAAGTCAAGGTCTGAGAATAGGTTATTTAATTTTTTATACCCTAAGTGATAGAGAGTGGCCCACCTCAAAAATTTTTTATATAGTTTTTGAATATTTTTTGTTGCATTAAAAATACACCTAAATTTTCACCCTTCTAACACCAACCCCTATTTTTTAATAGCGATATTAATTTATATGACAAAACAATGTTTGGCGGGTCAGCTTATTACATATATAAATGTTATTACCAGTTATAATAATATTATCATAGAAATAGATAACATAATACCATCCATATGTTACGTTAGAGTTCAATGTTACAACGTCTTTGACCGCCAATCTATCTTAAAAACGTAGGTACTGGAATATAAAGCAATAGAATTCACAATTGCAATTTTTTTTTAAAACATAGCCCATTACTCTCTAATAATGTATTTTTGTTTTTGGCGTGTGCACCATTTCATTATCGGCGCTAACGGTTTACGCTGGCGGGGCAATAGTGGAGGATGATGTGATGGAATTCACTAGGAATTTATCAGGATGGTTGCCAGGGGGAACCGCATAGAAGTCAACCTCACAGTACATTGCTAGCAATTGGGTCAACAGAGCAATCCCCTTGCAACAATGGAAAATCTTGGCGACACCTTAGAACACAGAAATTACCTAATGAAACCTAAAGTTAGTTTCTCAAATAACGTCCTCCATTGTGCAATGAAAAATATTTTTTTAAAGAATCTTCTAATTAAGCATTTTTAGAGATACACAACAATAGCGAACAAATTTAAACAATAAATAATACGGAACCCTCAGTATCGAGGTTGTTAATCACGTCTGACCTATTTAATAAGTAAGACTTATCTAAATACCTACAAGAATACTATCATCTCATTACTAGTCATTACGGATACAAAGAGTGACCATGTTTGTTCTAAATCGAGTACAAAGTATAAATAATATTTTTAGACAAGTTAACTTAATAAAGAATGCTTTAGAGAACAATTATCCATTAAAAAGATGGCTGCACGATCACCTAACATTAGCGATATTAGGAGAAAATCTAAGTTTCCCATACGTGTGGTTACGCGATAACTGTCAGTGCGAAATGTGTTTTCATCAATCGGCACGAAGTAGAATATTAGATTGGAGCAATTTCGACCTTGATGTGAAGCCACGAGATGTAGTTAGAGACGAAAATTCCTTGCAAGTGACCTGGACTGATGGACACAAATCCAAGTTTGATCTCAACTGGTTGAAGTTTAGAAGTTTCACTGCAGATAATCAACAGAGGTACAATGAAGCTATTTACAAGCCTAAGAAGATCACTTGGAGCGGAGAACAATTCCAGAAGATTTGTACTAAACATGAATACGATGAAATATTGAATTCTGATAAAGGTCTTTACAATTGGCTTTTAAAGTTATCAACGTATGGTGTAGCTCTTATACAAAATACACCTAATTCTGAGACAGCCATCGATTCTATTGTGGAAAGGATAGGTTTTACAAAAAGAACCCATTACGGAGTCAAATTCATAGTTCAGCATGTCGCTAATACAAGCAACGTCGCGTATTTGTCCAGCAATTTACAGATGCACACTGATCTGCCTTACTATGAATATTGCCCGGGAGCCAACTTGTTACATTGTTTGGTGCAAACCAAGAGTTTAGGCGGTGAAAACTTACTATCTGATGGTCATTTTATAGCTGAACATATAAAGGAAAACTATCCTGATCAATATAAATTACTAACTGAGGTAGAAGTTGAATGGAGCGATATAGGAACAGAGGATAAAAATGATTTTTTTAAACTCTATAGAGCTCCAGTAATATGTTTAGACAAACATGGTGCTGTAACTAGAATTAACTTTTCTATACCCCAAAGAGGTAGCCATTTTCCTGGCACCATAGATATGGTAAAGCCTTGGTATGAAGCTCATAGACTTTTCTTAGCATTAAACCATAGATTTTCAGCTAAATTTAAGACAAAAGAAGGCGACATCCTTGCATTTGATAACATCAGACTGTTGCATGGAAGGAATGCTTATGAAGATAATAATGATAATGTGAGGAAACTCATTGGAGCCTATGTTGATTGGGACGAGATATATTCAAGGTTGCGATGTTTGAAAATTAAATTAAAGAGTGAAGATACAGTGTATTAAATTAACTGAGTTTAATTAAAATTGCGGCAACACGGTTTTATATAATAAACATGGAAGGCACCAAATTATTAGAAATATATCGGAAATGCATTTATAAATCTTAAAATAAGTTACATAAAGTTATATATTTTTTTTTAATATAGTATGGGAGAAATTCTTTTAGTGCTACCAGGTTTTATCTAATAATTACATTGTACATAAATCCCTCAATACAATAAAATATATTTGCTATAAATTTATTATTTCCATATAAACATCCATGTTACAACTCCTTGCAGAAAAACTTCTAAGTGGCAGAATCTCAGTTGACTCTATAGGTTTCTGTTCAATCTCAACTAGAGGAAAATCATCGAAACTAGGATTTGTTGTGATTGCAATTGCTGTAGATTCATTTGTGTGTAGATGTACAGTGAAACTAGTTTCTTCGGGCAAATTAGTAAACTTATCACTTATTGAAGACAGTTTCAGTAAAAAGGCGCGTAGATTCTGCTCGGCTTGTACCAAGTATGCGTCCGTTGTATCATCAAACGACATATTTTTTTGAAAATCGAACACGAATTTTAGTATTGGGCGATAACCACTGTCGGTAATAGCAAATACCACACGGGTTAGGTTCCCGCTCTTGAAACACTCGGAGACACTTCGCAAGCACATATCTATGTAATTATTAATTTCAGGATGAATAGAATGGTATACTATGATACTGTATTTCTTTCTTGTTTCAAATATACTCTTCGGATATACATTGGCGTAATATAAAATAGAATGGAAAGCCACAGACAGGAATTCTACTGTTATGTCTATGAAACAAATATCCATCATCGAGTTCCCAATTATGTGATGAGATGTATGAGACTAATGTTAACAATTTTTTACTGTACAAATAAATTGTGTCCAGATTTCCAGAGTATTTGAAGCAAAGAATATACTACTCATTTGAAGTTAGAATACAATCAAAACATAAACAAATCATGACTGACTGTTTTCGTTCCGAATTCCCGGCGTTTTGACATTGACGTTTTAGTTTGTCTACAGAATAGAGTAGTAGTTGTACAGCTTTTTTGTTCTGTGGTTTTTTGAATTATTTTATATTAATTAAGGTTGTACACCGATTACCCGAGTTTTAAGCATTTTTTCGTTGTACACTTTTAATGTGTAATTATTATAGGGGATTAAAGTATCTAAGCAATTTTAGTATGCTTATTTTTATAGAATATTCATGACTACTAATAAACAATAGAGCCTAGCTACATGGATGGAGGGATTAAAATTATATAATTATAATAATAAAACACTGACAGTCAATTTATGTACATTTTATATTATATTATATTAACAAAAAATCTAATTAAATAATTGATACTGCTACTAATAAATGGTCTTCATTTATCTGGAATAGCTTCCAAACCCTGAAAATTGAGAACATTTTACTTATAATTAATTCTATTAAAGAGCATGTTTGACCAAATTTACGTTTTTATATATTGCAGTTGCTAGTTCTACTCCTGAATTTATATCACAGTATTGCATTTAGAATCAAAAATTTATAGAGATTAATTTAAAAAAGATAAATTTTAGATATATATACCATATCTAAAAATTAATCTCTATAAATTGTGCTACAGAATAGTAACCGCAGTAAGATTAAAATAAAAAAAAATTAACTTTAAAAAATATTTAATCACTTCATAAGTTAATATGAAAATTTTACTTGCACAATATGCATACTGTGCCAATATAATAATAAAATGTTATACATGTTCATTCATTAGAAAATTAATATGAAGTGAAGTTTTTATATTAATTTTCTACATGAACAAATGATTTTTTAATTTGAATAATCCTCATGCAGTCTGCCTTGTATTTATACACATATGTTTAGTTTTCTTACTTTATTGCAAATAAAGCATATTTCTATCTATCTTATTTGACTTTGTGTCAATCAATGGATGAGTTATTTAACAGATACAGTTACTGATCAAATTCTAGTTCACAATTACTAAAGAAAGCAAAACACAAAAACAAAAACCTGATATGGTTCATATTGTTATCAAATTCAAAATATATTACTTTAACCATTATGATTAAGTAACTTGTTAACACAAATCATGAATCCCATAGATTGTGAGTTCCATGATGGGGCGTAGAATAAGTTTACCTCATTCTAAAATTCTACCACCACTTTTAACATGTTTATCTACTCTCACACTTTGTATATTTATATTTTATTAATCGGGCCTTAACATGAATCATTTTATGGCAAATTAAGGTTTACGTCTCAACATTTTGATTAGGTCAGCACATGACCATGGCTAGTGCCACCTAGAGGGGGGAAGGGGATTGTTAATAATGTGGATTGATAACCCCATTGCTAGCAATGTACCATGCCAGGTCGACCTCCATGCGGTTCCCCCTGGAAACCTTAGTGTCAAATTCCTGGTGAATTTGTCACGATGGGCTAACTGACCTGACCTCATGTACATCTTATCATCCTCCACTGGTGTCCCGCCAGCGTAAACCGTTAGCGCAGGCGGGTGCATCATTCCATTATCATCCACAAAAAAAAAGTGCCACCTAGTGGGGGGAAGGGGTTCCCCCTGGAAACCATTGTGTCAAATTCCTGGTGAATTTGTCACAATGGGCTAACTGACCTGACCTCATGCACATCTTATCGTCCTCCACTAGTGCACTGCCAGCGTAGACCGTTGGTGCAGGCGGGTGGACCATATCATTATCATATACAAAAAAAAGTGCCACCTAGTCGAAAATTTCAGAGAAGTAAATACCTTCATTTGCCATACAATTATTCTTGTTAAGACACGGTTCATAATACAAATATTAAACACGTAAGATTAAAACTATGTTTCAACACAATCAAAGTTTGTTTAGGCTGCTTTTTGGTTATAAAAATGATTACTTACATTTGGTTTATAGACATCTCCTGTAAGCAATCGGTCACGCTGGTACATCCTACGATCCCACGTATCAAGCATTGTTCGTCTAAAGTGCTGAAATGTAAATATTTTTTATATCCTGTTTCAAATTAAATATAAAGAATCACGCGAATGCAATTAATAAAAACTATAATAATTTAGTAAATAAATAATATTTTTTAAAAAACAAATATTTATATATATTAATCTCTCGTCGGTTGATCTTAAGATAGTGTTACCTAACAAGTTGCTCATGTGCACTTACATTTCCCAAAACTAAATTGTGAATATGATATAGGCCCCATCCAGGCAAGCCTATTGCAGCAGTTATAATGAAGAAGCTGGGTAGAATTTCGTACCACATTATATATTTTTACTATATATAATTCACTGATAATTCTCTAATTAAAATTCAAGAAAATAAATATAATTATTTATAAAATCTAAGTATGACAGAATGACATAGATTGACTGCACAGAGCAATGACAGCTTTAGCCTCGATTTTCAATAACGCTGTCACTTGATATTTTTTTACATAATATGTTTTACGGTTCTGGATGTCTCTTGACAATATTTTGTGTTACCAGATGAATAAAAATAATAAAAAAATGTAAAACAATACTAATGATGTAGATCTTATTTTAATAAATAGTACCAATTATGTAATTACAATAATGTAGGTATTGTTATTATATATCCACTTAATAAACTTTGTACGATGACCTAATTAGGCTTACAGGACTAGTGTGTATTAGAACAACTAACTAATTTTAATTAGAATATGCAATAAATGTTGTTAAAAGAATAGCGCCATAGGTAGGTGTTTATAGGGTGTATGTATCTTTGTTAAAACTTTTGTTAAAGGTTTTAACAAAGATAGAAAAAACAGTACTGTGTTTTATCAATTTAGTAGAAAAATAATGTGTGTGTATGTAAGTTTACGATTCCAAGAACGTAGCCCACCAAAACCCAAGCCCTGGTAATCTTACTGCAGCGGTTATAATCATAAAGGACGGTAAAATATTGAACCACACATAGCACACTTGATAAGCAAATTATTTTTTCGTAAATATATATTGTAGCAATGTCGCAATCACAAATTAAACAATTTTAGTTATAATTTACTATATTAGAAATCTTTATTTAGCCAAAAGAAAAGAAAAAATCTTTATTTGCTGTAATGACATTGTGTCGTTATAAAATTCTCTTTACTTATTTGCGACCAGTGTTACGATTATGACTTCCAATTCCGCTTCCAAGGAACACAACTGGACAAAGCACAGTTGTCTTAATATAATAAATTATATAATATAATATAATAAGATAAATGTCTGAATAATATTTTGTTGCTACATTAATTTTTAGTCATAGTTATTTTTTTATTCATTGTTTTTAATGTTGTGTTGATAGATAGCAACACTAAGTATCCAATCATCGAAAATGGTAGACGAACCTATCGACTGTGATTTTCCTGTTTGGGGATTATTACCGAAAAAAGAGACGGGGGTTGTGTCCTTTTTAAATAAATATCCTAAATACGATGGCAGAGATACAATTATCGCTATTTTTGACTCCGGCGTTGATCCAGCAGCCGCTGGTTTGCAGGTAAAGAAATGTGTCTCGTCATGGTTTAGTCTAACAATAGTTATTTTTCTTCACTTAATTAATGGTTTTGCTGTGATTTTAGGTGACCAGTACTGGAGAAACGAAGGTTATAGAGAGATACGACTGCAGCGGGTGTGGCGACGTTGATACCAGCACGGTTATAAAAAAAGTTACCGACGGACACATTACCGGCCTGACGGGCCGAAAGTTGAAAGTAAATTATATATTTCTGACTATTTTACGTTGTAAATATTTAAATTTAATATTTTAATTGAATCGGCGAATATCTTTTTGGTTTCAATTTAAGTCTGGTACGTATCTTATCAGCTGTTGGTAGAAAAGTTCATTGACATTTGCTAAACGTCAAACGTACAGCTGTATTTGACAAATTAAAATAGATGTACATGTGTGCTGTTCCTATGGCAATAAAACATTGTAGAATACAGTATATGGTAGAAATAACATATGGTCCAGCTATATTATATTTAAAATAAATATTACAAATTTAACAGCCCATGACAGTATATAGGAATTAGTTTGTTTTATTGTAGATGTTATGGAAAGCATATTTTTTTATTTTTATGGATGATATTGCAATGGTGCACCTGCTCTAACGGTTTACGCTGGCGGGGCACCAGTGGAGGATGATAAGATGAGCATGAAGTCAGCTCAGTTAGTCCATTTTGACAAATTCACCAGGAATTTATCATTTTGGTTTCCAGGGGGAACCGCGTGGAGTTCAACCTGAAATAGTACATTGCTGTAATGGTGTCATGAGTCCACATTACTAAATATCCAATATTCCCCTGTGGAACATATTATATTAAAAGACTTGAGTTTGTACTTCCAGATGAAAGTTATAATCATTTACAACTCCTTCAATGTCAAGCTATATTAATATTAACACAATTACAATCATTTGTAGTAAATATTTGTTTCTGTCTTTTGTTTTATATATAGATATGTTAATATCAGCAATTTCATACTACTTGTGGCATACAATGAAGATTAAAGGCTGTAGCAATGTCATGATATTAGAGATAACATGTTACATTACTGTTTCCTAAAGTGTAATTGTTATATATATTATCTTTAAATTAGAACACAACTGGTAATGTCAGCAGTTTGTTGACAGCAGAAATTAAACACAAACAAATCCATACAGAAACTTTTGTATAAAATTTACCTCTATATATTTAGAAAGATATATATATGAGATATAGATATGACCATATAAATGATGATAATTATCCCACCGTAATAAAAACAAGTAATAAAAGTATATGATATACTATAGACATATAATATTCACACAAAATTCTTGCAAATATAATTCTTAACAATATTTATTTAAGAAAGCAACATACAATTATCTAGCTCATTCTGTATATGACGAGTCTGCATTCCGATAATGACTATGAAAATATGGCTAAACAAAACTGCTTATATTAAGTTTATATATATAAAGATTTTTTTATATTAGAAATAGAAATATAATTTAAGAAAAATAATATATATATAATATATTACATGCTCCATTTTGATGCAGGTCCCAGAAACATGGAAAAACCCCACTGGTACTTATCGTGTCGGTATACTACATCCATTCTCATTGTACCCTTCGAAATTGAGGGAGCGGATACAGGAACACCGCAAAGAGCACCTTTGGGATGTAGGACATAAGCCAGCTTTTGCAGCAGCTAATAAACAATTGCAGGACTTTGAATCAGAAGTTGGTAAGTATAGCTGTAGCTTAGAAATATATGATGATCATATGGATAATGACACATACAATATGGAATGTCAGGCCACTCCCCTCAATTACCTACATTGGTTATCAGATAAGACCATATGGAGGTCATACTGACATGGTACATTATTAGTAGAGAAACTCTCTATTATTGTTATTGTTAGTAATGAAAGAAAGAAAGAAAGAAAAATATATTTATTTGGCGCATACAAAACAATCATACAATATTTTACAAAAATTATAACAAATTATTTTAAAAATACAGCTGCGACCAAATTGGTTCCCACTCAGCTTTGTGTCTGGGCTGTAATGCCCAAACGCTGATTTTCAGTGGAACCTTGTAGAAAATAATTTGAAATATAAAATTTGTGTACCTACTGTTGCCTGCGTGAACGTGCGCTGTTGGTGCTTTTGATAAGGTGTAAGTCTATGCTATGATAATGTATGTAAATGAAAATACACATATAAAACGGTAAAAAATACATATACAGTACGGACAGTCATACAGTGGAAATTTGATTTTCTAATAGAAATTTCTTAAGTTTTTGTTTAAATGTAGATACAGATTTTGAATTTTTAATGGAGCCTAATAAGGCCTCATTTTTTTTTTTATATGGTTGAAAGTGATATAGGTATGCCTACCTGTGCTCGTGTTTAAGCTGGCGGGGTACCAGTGGAGAATGATAAGATGTGCATGAGGTCAGGTCTGTTTAGTTAGCCCATCATGACAAATTCACCAAGAAATTATCACGATGGGGGGATTCCAGGGGGAACTGGGTGGAGGTCAACCTGACATGGTACATTGCTCGTAATAAGATCATCAATCCACATTACTAACAATCCTCTTTCCCCCCTAAGGTCCCATTATTACAATATTTTTTTGTTATTTTCTTTTATTGGGTTGTTTGGGCTATTGCCAGATGTTTGTAGCACCTGTAGCACTGCGACCTATATAGATTTATTGTGTTCACCCTTACTAACAATAACAATAATAATAATAATAAGGCTGGATGATTCACATAGTGTCATCTAGTCAAATTAATCAGAGCTTGTGTTATGGGCTAGATATAGGGCCCATAACACAAGCTCTGATTAATTTGGGTAACTGATATAAATACTTGTTTAGTAGTATTTTGTTTGTGTAAATACATACATAATATAAAAAAATACTCAACTAATACAAACCATCATACTCATGCATAGAAATGTTCAAAGTATCAAACCCATTATCATTGGAAAGTGGTGTGTTAAATCACTAAGTCACTGAGACTGCTACAATCCCCTCCTTACAACCAATCTCTTGTAGTTAACATAGTAAATACAAGTCAATTATGTTGTTTTTTGTTGTATTAATATAAACTTAATATTTGTTCTAAGTTTCGAAGAATCCAACCTTAAGCCTTGAAGACAAGTTTATGAAAGAGGAGCTAGAGGCCAGAGTGGAAGTTTTGCAAAATGCAGAGAAAAAGTACACAGATCTTGGCCCTACATATGACTGTGTTTTGTTTCACGATGGGGAAGTGTGGAGGTAAGTGATATTTGTATTATACTAGCTACTCGCTCCGGCTTTAAATCACTCTATCTATTAAAAAACTGCTTCAACATTTGTTGCGTTTTTTTAAAGATTTAAGTATATATAGGGATAGACAGCGACAGCAACTTCTATACTATGTAATGATGACAAATTATATCTAGCAGTGTACTAATCCGTTATACCACAGAGCCCGTCAGTTATAATAAAAATAATAATCTCAGGACAATTTACATAGCGCCATCTAGTCCCAAGTTAAGCTAGCTAACAAGCATGTGTTATTAGTACTAGATAACTGATACATACAGAGTTTATATAGAGAACATCCAGACGGATACATATAAATATCCTTGAGCTGGATGAAAGATTTCTAGCTAGCTGAAACATGGGGACCTTGTCAAAGGATAGAGATCTTCCCATGCCTACTACCAACAACTCATCTGCTATAGTACCAGTACTGATTGCATACACCCAACGGCCAAAAAAAAAAATTCAGAAGTTACAAAAAATCATACTTATGAATACAAATGTTTGCGCTGTGCGAGGAATCGAACTCGCGAACATCGGAAGTAACGCGCTAATGTAATAATATAAATGTGTTAAACGGCTAAACCACAGAGACTGTTATAATTTCACTTGGTTGCTTCAGGGCATGTATTGATACGTCAGAGAGTGGAGATCTTGCATCTGGACCTTTACTGGGCGAGTACAGTGCAACACATGAGCATACTCACTTAACAGATCTGGATGAGATGACAATCAGCATCAATGTTCATGATGAGGGTCAAACATTGGAAGTTGTTGGAATGTGCTGTAAGTATATTGAAACTATATGTGTGCTGTAGCATGGTGCAGGTGACAGTTTCATTAATATTCGTTTCACTCCTAAAAGTTGCCGAAGATTTATAAATTGTGTCTTAGTATTTCAACTGTACCACATTCGTAATATATTAAATCACAAGCTTAAGCTCGCGGCTTCGCTCGCGTTAAGAATATTATTATTAATTAGGTGTAGTTTTTGCCGGTTTACTTTTGTTTAGCGTGTCTAAAAAAATAGGGCCTACAAAATCTAAGAAGATTTATACAAACTTTCATCCCCTATTTTATCCCTTTGGAGGTAGAATCAATCAATATCCTTTCTTAGCGGATGCCTACGTCATAACATCTACCTGCATGCCAAATTTCAGCCCGATCCATCCAGTGGTTTGGGTTGTGCTTTGATAGATCACTCAAAGGTGACTTGTCAGTCACCTTTGTGTTATATATATTTAGATTAATAATTGTATTAACTTAAATGTAGCAATTGTTAAATGTAAAATTAGTAATTGTCACCCGCACCATGCTATAGCATACACAGTATAATATTTAATATTTTGTAGCAGCATACACATACTACCGGTGTGCTTGCAACTGATCTTTGCAGAACTGCTAATATTTCGCACTATGCTGAGGTTGGTCCTACAATGTAAGCTGCAGGTATGGATGACGCTAGACATATACCAATATATTCGTTCGCGGTTCACATATGCCTCCCCGCACTATTCCGAACTGTACATTTATAAATGACCTGTCGGGACCTCAAGGTCCCAACGGTGGAGCAGTATGCTGGGGCAAGGAGCTTTTGCTCGAGATCCGTACCCAGTGGCCCATATGACCCTGTGAATGATCAGAATCGGAATGGAAAACTGTTATCTCACAGGGCACCTGTAACTCGTTAAAAAAAACAATTAAAATTGCGGAAAATGACTAGTTTTGTGTTGATTATTAATTTAACCTTTTAAAACTGTATATAAATGAGTTTCTAAAAAGCCTGCAAAATTACCATCCGTGGAAAGTGTATTTTAAAAAAAAAACCTTCTAACACTTAATCATCATTACACAGCAACTCATGGAACCCACGTAGCGGCTATTGCATCTGGCTACTTCCCCGACGAGCCTGACAAGAACGGTGTGGCGCCTGGTTCCAAGATCATCTCGCTCACAATCGGCGACAGCAGGCTCGGTTCAATGGAGACTGGTACAGCCTTAATCAGAGCTTGTATCAAGGTCATGGAGCTGTCCAAGAAGATGAAGATTGATGTCATCAATATGAGTTATGGTGAACATGCACATTGGTCCAATGCTGGGTGAGTGCAGTTTTGTTTTATTTGTATAATGTGATTCTGGTTCAATTGCATCATATGAAGAGAATCACAGAGGTCACATTGTCAAGTAAATATTATATGTGTAAATTTTATTTGTAGGACTGGAGTTTAAATTTAATCTAACAATTTCCTTCCTCCTCATGAATTATCTTAGTTTATTTATAGTGAGTATATTGTGAAATAGATAGTAGCCGATTCTCAGACCTAAATATGCCTATAAAATTTCATAAACATTGGTCAAACCGTATCAGAGGAGTATGGCAACTAACATTGTGACTCGAGAATTTTATATATAAGACTATCCACGCGCCCCGGTTTCGCACGGGTGTACATGTATTATATATATAAACCTTCCTCTACAGAATAAAAACCGCTTCAAAATCCGTTGCGTAGTTTTAAAGATTTAACCATACATAGGGACGTACAGCGACGGTAACTTTATTTTATAGTATGTAATGATTGAGGGAGGCGTGTGGTTGGTGGTTGCAGGCGGGTGGGGGAGACGATCTGCGCGGTGGTGAACCGGTACGACGTGGCCTGGGTGGTGTCGGCCGGGAACCACGGGCCGGCACTCGCCACACTCGGCGCGCCGCCCGACCTCGCACAGCCCGTGCTCATCGGTAACACATGCACAATACTCACACCCCATCATTGAAACACAAACATACTCAAAGCCTATCATTGAAATACAAATACAAATAATCTACTCTAATAAACTCAATACAAAAACGTTTGAATAATCATATTTTTTTATTCTACCACTCATTCGGAACGCAGATTCATCACATCTTATTAAAACTTTAATGTACAAATACAAAAATAAAGTGCAACATATATGAACTTAACACAAACCAGAGATTAATGGGAGGTGCATTTGAAGTATGAAATAAAAAGAAAAATAGAAGTAATGTGAAGTAAAAAGAAAGCTAGTGATAATGTAGACAATTAGCAATAAATTTCTATGATGATGATGATGAGTAAGGTGGTGTGCAGGTGTGGGCGCGTACGTGTCGCCGGAGATGATGGCGGCCGCGTACTCCATGCGGGAGAGACTCGGCGGCGGAGCCTTCAGCTGGAGCTCACGAGGACCCGCGCCCGACGGAGGCATCGGGCTCGCCGTGTGCGCCCCCGGCGGCGCCGTCGCATCCGTCGCCAGGTACGCCCCGCACACTACACACTATGACCGGTCCTGCTGCTCGCATCCAATGCCTTCCAGCGATCTTGACCAGAACGTCGGTCCACCTTGATGGAGGCCTTCCCACGCTGCGTTTTCCGCGGTCGCCACTCGAGGACTTTACTGATAGATTCAATACCATAGAGTTTTAACTACCTTTATTACTATGATCTTCCTTATCCTTAATGAATTATAAATAAAATTATAATGACCATTTTGTCCTCAGGTTTACATTACGAAATTCTCAACTAATGAACGGTACTTCAATGGCCGCCCCGCACGTCGCCGGTGTTGTCGGTGAGTTGGTACTCTATCAGGACCCATTTACATTCACTTTAAAACTTTTATCGTACGATCTATTTAGGATCATTGACTTCAAACATTGATGTTAATATGGATCAACGTGCGACGTTCCTGCTTTGTTGATAATCGTCGTGATACTCGACTGCATAATGCGCTCTTGCTCGTACAGGTGGTGTCACGGGTACACGTACAGGTGAATAGAGTGACACATCTGTTTTTGTCTCTTTCTGCACTACTAGAATTATCCATATTATCTTATCATATTATGGAAAGTACATAAAACTCTACCTACTCCTATCACTGGTGATGACTGACGGTTTCTACTTATTATTAGACGCGTACCTATCTGTTTGTGTGCCATTCCAATTAATAAACAAATATAGATCTAAATGAACAACAAAATTCTGATTTGATTATCCGGCTCGAAGGACTAATTTGGGTGGTTTAAGTCTCCAGTTCCGTGATGTGGGCCTGTTCAAGTATTATGTAAGCAGATTTATTATAATTATTTACCGCCCAATTCCACTTGTCAGTAAAAGTAAGCTAAGCTCTTACCCACTCCCCCATGCTTACGTAAAATTTTTTCAATTAATGTATTGATTATTTAGCAAAGACAATGTGAGTGTTGCCATTCGTGTAAAAAAGTAAATACCTACCTATGACGTAATCATCATCTAGATCTACCCCCCATGTCATCCAAAATAAGCAAAGCAAAAAAATAGTGCTTACGTAATACCTGAACGGCCCCTGTTGATTGATTGACATTCCGTTAGTATCTTATGGCTACCCATAGACTTAGTTCTTGTACTCTTATTCTACAGATTGTTGATGTAATATTGTCTTATTTTCTCCTTAGCGGCTTTAATTTCCGGTCTGAAGGACAAGAATCTTCCGTATTCACCGTACTCAATTAAAAGGATGCTGGAAAATTCTGCTACATACCTCAGTCACGTGGAACCCTGGGCGCAAGGTGCAGGATTGGTTAACATCGAGAAGGTACGTTTTTTATATTACTAATATTGCTATTTAAATAATCTGGTTGATTGTAGAAGGATGAGATAAGACCAAGAGCAAACCCATTAATAGTAAAAAAAAAGATAAAAATTTATGGTTGTATGTATTTTTAATGCCGTCATTAAAAATAAGATCTAAGAAAAAATTTTTTTGGAGTGGATGACCTACTATTTTGCTACGAGTACGCCATTTTGTAATGCCAATTCTTAAAAAAATTAAAATTGACACGTAAAAAATAAATTTTTGGGGTGGTCCACTAGTACGAAGTGTATAGAATCTATACGAAGATGGTATTACAATTATAGCTATAGTTTAGTTAGAGACTAGCTGGCGCTGTGTGAAATCTTCAGTCTGTTTTTAATTTTATATTAACAGCTTTTTACTAAATGCAATTGTTGAAGTTGGTTAAAAAACAAAATATATTATAAACTAAAAATGTAATTAGTCTGTGGTCTGTATTCTGTATTATATAGTCTGTAAAGTGTGACTTGTTAAATTGGTGGAATAAAATATTTGTCGAGAATAAAAACTCTGTGTTTGAGTTTTGAAGGTTGTTTTTTAGTGAAAGAATCCTTCACATATAAAAGGCACGGCACTTACGTCCAAAAGTATAAAAAAGCATAAATATCCGCGGACGAAGTGGTGCGTAACAGCTGTTTATAATATTTCCGGGTAGGCGTTCGATTACCTGACGAGCTACCACTCCGTGCCCGAGCGTGACGTCACGTTCAGCATCCAGTGCGGCGCCGCCAACGGCAAGGGCGTGCTGCTGCGGCCGCGCCCCGCAGACCCGCCCCTCGACATCGCGCTCACCGTCGAGCCGCACTTCCTGCACCACCACGACGACGTCGACAGTCAGTATCTATGTTTCATTCCTGCGTACGAATATTTAATTTTTCGAAATATGAAATGGTAATTTTTCGTTTGGTTTAAGTATAGATTTGGGTATACTATATATCTATACTATATAATATTTAAAGTTGAAGAATTTGTTTGTTTGTTTGAACGCGCTAATCTCTGATGGTTCGAATTGAAAATTACTTTTTGTTTTTGTCGAGGAAAGCTTTAAGCTATATAACATTACGCTCCGATCAATAGAAGCAAAGCATCAGTGAAAAGTGTTGCAAAAAAGAAAATATTTGAGGGCTTCCGTTGCGTAAACGGTTTAGTTCGCCAAAAAAATATATATGAGAGAAGTGATCTAAAAAAATGTCCGCGACAGTATACACATGTACACCCGTGCCAAATCGGGGCGGGTCGCTAGTATTATGACAAAAGCTTCTAAATAGTGCAGTGGGGTGGGTCGGAACAGATGCAATAAAATGTATGTAGCGGGCGCGCGTTGCAGACAAGGCGGTGATCCAGAAGCAAATCTCGTTCGGGATGCGGCTGGCGCTGGCGTGCGCGGCCGAGTGGGTCGCCGCGCCCGCGCACCTCGACCTCGCGCACGCCGCGCGGCCCATAGCGCTGCGCGTGCGCACCGCCCGCCTGCCGCCCGGCGCGCACTTCGCCAGGTGAGGACGCGGAGTGGGGGGGGCGCCCGCGCACCTCGACCTCGCGCACGCCGCGCGGCCCATAGCGCTGCGCGTGCGCACCGCCCGCCTGCCGCCCGGCGCGCACTTCGCCAGGTGAGGACGCGGAGTGGGGGGGGCGCCCGCGCACCTCGACCTCGCGCACGCCGCGCGGCCCATAGCGCTGCGCGTGCGCACCGCCCGCCTGCCGCCCGGCGCGCACTTCGCCAGGTGAGGACGCGGAGTGGGGGGGGCGCCCGCGCACCTCGACCTCGCGCACGCCGCGCGGCCCAGAGCGCTGCGCGTGCGCACCGCCCGCCTGCCGCCCGGCGCGCACTTCGCCAGGTGAGGACGCGGAGTGGGGGGGGCGCCCGCGCACCTCGACCTCGCGCACGCCGCGCGGCCCATAGCGCTGCGCGTGCGCACCGCCCGCCTGCCGCCCGGCGCGCACTTCGCCAGGTGAGGACGCGGAGTGGGGGGGGGCGCCCGCGCACCTCGACCTCGCGCACGACGCTGCGCGTGCGCATCGCCAAGCACCTCGAAGCTGCGCTCTATTTTAAACTCCACAGCATTGACTCGATACCAAGATACCACAAATGACGAATACGTAGCGGCATCTCACATAGACAACGCAACAGTGGTAAGATTACCAAGAGACCCATTACACTACGCATCCATATACCCATAGTAATTTGAGTATGGGTACATATTACATACATTCATATGTTCTTACAAATTATCATAAACCTATACACGCACACTCGCATCCACATTAATTCCCAAGCGTGAATATTTATACGTACATATTTGTAATAACATACCTTTTCATACACTGGCATATGCATCTACTTGTACACGCACTTATCACCTACAAACACGGATACTATCCGCATCCATACATAATCACAAGCATCCCTCTCTGTATTTTCGTACATCCATCCTCATCCATATGCACGTGCAGCCACACATCCCTTAGAGGTTCTGTGACAGCATATGTCTGCCTACAAGCCTCACGGTCGGCCATGACCGTAAGAATCCCCAAGGAGAAGCCCCCTCTGAATGTGTGTATGTGTACGCAGTGTGAACGCGTACGACGTGAACTGTCCGGAGCGCGGCGCGGTGTTCCGCGTGCCCATCACCGTGCTGCAGCCCGTCTCCCCCGCACCCCACGCGCCCTTCACTGCCACCGACGTGCTGTTCCGCCCCGCACACATCGCTCGTCACTTCCTCATACGTGAGTATCCGCTCCTTATATATGCTGCTGATAAAAAAACATTACATATCTCTAAAAGTGGGGTGGTTATATGTAGTCGACATCGATTGGAGACCATTTAACGGTATTCGAGCAAACTGACGACTATATATAGACTATAGAACAGATGGCGCTGTATTGAAAGTAGGCGGCAATATGATTTCGTTTTGTTACTGCACATGTAGGTGTAAGGCATTTTTATAAGAGTAAAAACTTTTTTAGTTCAACAATCAAAAATCACTGATTGTTTTATTTATTTAACGCAATAACACGCTGTGGTAGTCCAAAGTTTGGTATGGAGTTGTAAATTTTTTGGTCCTTCGAGCCGGATAATTTTGATACAGTGCCATCTGTTACGCATACTATTGCTACTTTTAAAGTTATATTGCATAAAGCAACAAGATTATGTAATGACATTTAATTACCAGCTCCTAACGGAGCGACATGGGGCGTGCTGAAGATGTGGACATCGGATCAGGAAAAGACGGGCAGGTTCCTAGTGCACACGATGCAGTTGCTGCCGCGGCGCAGTTGCCGCTGTCACGAGACGCAGAAGATGGTTAACGTCACTGGGGAAGCACCGACCCTGCTCCCATTCCAAGTTGTGGTGAGTAACATTGCGTATGTAGTATCACTAGGGCTTAGTAAACTGTGACCAAAATTACGTCGGCCTGAGCTTAGCTCAGGCCGACGTAATTTTAAGTTGAATACGGGAGAAAATTAAGTTGAATATGGGATCGAAGCGGTGTTCGGGGCTGCCGGTGAGGAGTGTCTAGACGTGCGTAGGCTCTCGGTTGATTGCGCTGAATGATGCGTTTGAGATCGTCGTCTTCGCCGGCGAGGACTGTGTTGTGTATTAGTGTTGTAACGTGAGTTAGGACGGAATCGGTAGAAGTGTAACGCGTGCTCTGCCGGTTATATTTATAATCTCACCGAGCGTGTATTTCCGTCTCACTCACTGCAGTCGACATGCTCGTTATGTAGTACATGAACTATATCATTTTGTACATATTATTGTAAACTGAGCGTGTGGTGTCGCTGTAAGAATAGCACCACCCCCTCTCTTCCCGTGGGTGTCGTAAAAGGCGACTAAGGGATTCATCGACCAGTGGACGGGCAGCAGCGTCCTACTGAGTACCTACCATCATACTGCGATCGCCAACCCGCATGCCAAGCGTGGCGATTATGGCAATATCCCCCCAAATGAATTTACACCCAAGGCCCCGGCCCCCAGTCCCCGGCGGCCCCGCTAGTCTTGATCATGGTAGCGGTCATGGAAACGGCGGGGCAGGGGGTGCGAAGAATCTCCGGGTAAGACCAGGCTACCACAAACGACGACCACTGGCCCTGGCAACATACAACGTTCAAACACTGCGGACCGACGAAAAGTTAACTGAACTGGAGGAAGAGTTGAGCAGATTGCACTGGCATGTCGTGGGATTATCTGAAGTCCGAAGAAAGGAGGAGGACTCGATAGTCCTGAAATCGGGCAATCTGCTTTACTTCCGGGAGGGCGATCAACTGTCCCAAGGCGGTGTCGGGTTCCTCGTCCACAAGTCCCTTGTGAATAATGTTATCAAGGTCGAGAGCGTGTCGACTAGGGTAGCGTACCTGATACTCAGAATTACCAAACGGTATTCATTGAAGGTCATCCAAGTGTACGCTCCAACTTCGACGCACTCCGACGATGAGGTTGAGGCTATGTATGAGGATATCTCCAGAGCCATACATAGTACAAAGACTCATTATAGCGTTATCATGGGGGACTTTAACGCAAAAATTGGGCAAACGAAGCGGTGATGAGCTGAGAGTGGGGCAATTTGGTATCGGTGATTGGAACTTCCGAGGTCAAATGCTGGCCGACTTCATGGAGAAGGAGAACCTCTTTATGATGAACTCCTTCTTCAGGAAGCCGGAACACCGGAAATGGACGTGGATTAGTCCCGATGGTGCCACAAAAAACGAGATAGATTTCATCTTGTCAACGAGAAGACAGATTTTCAATGATGTCTCTGTGATCAATGCCGTCAAAATTGGAAGTGATCACCGGATTGTAAGAGGCACATTGAATCTGAATCTGAAACTCGAACGATCCAGACTGATGAAATCTACGCTCCGCCCTACACCTATACAGATCCAAAACCCCGAAAGCTTTCAGCTAGAATTGCAAAACCGTTTCGAAAGCCTTGGTGACTGCGTTGACGTGGACGATTACAACAACAGGTTCGTGGAAACTGTCCGTGCGGCTGGGTCTAAGCACTTCAAAACCCGCCGCGCAGAAAGAACCGGAAAAATATCTATCTCTACCCTCAAATTGATGGATGAAAGGCGAAGTGTGGTCCTGCAGTCTCCGACTGACGCTTCTCAGTATCGGCAACTTAGCAGGCAGATCTCTAAGTCCTTGACTCGTGACTTACGCCACTTTAACACAAATTGTGTAAAGGAGGCTATTGAGAGAAACAAGGGCTCAAAAGTCTTTAACAGGGATCTGGCTGCCGGACAGAGCCAGCTGACGCGACTTAAGACGGATGACGGCAGGATCGTTTCGTCTAAACCCGAACTTTTGAGGGAAATTGAGAAGTTCTATGGACAGTTATACACGACAACACGGGCACCTGTTAACAACACGGCGAAAGACCCTAGAGCCAAATTAACCCGACACTATACCGAAGATATCCCGGACGTCAGCCTGTACGAGATTGGTATGGCTCTTAAACAACTTAAAAACAACAAGGCGCCGGGCGATGATGGAGTTACTGCTGAGCTTCTGAGGGCTGGAGGTAGACCTGTTCTACGAATCCTCCAGAAGCTATTCAACTCCGTCATCCTCGAGGGCAAAACGCCTCAAGCATGGCAAAGGGGTGTGGTGGTTCTGTTCTTCAAGAAGGGAGACAAATCGCTTCTGAAGAATTTCAGACCCATAACACTGCTGAGCCATGTTTATAAGTTGTTTTCGAGAGTCATCACGAATCGTCTCGCGCGCAGGTTTGACGACTTCCAGCCTCCCGAACAAGCCGGGTTCCGAAAAGGCTTCAGTACCATAGACCACATTCATACGCTGCGGCAGGTAATTCAGAAGACCGAAGAATACAACCTGCCACTTTGCTTGGCGTTTGTGGACTATGAAAAAGCCTTTGATTCGATCGAGACGTGGGCTGTGCTACAGTCTCTCCAGCGGTGCCAAATTGACTATCGATATATCGAAGCGTTGAAATGTTTGTATGAAAACGCCACTATGTCAGTTCGCCTCCACGACCGGAATTCGAAGCCTATCCAACTGCAGCGAGGTGTCAGACAAGGCGATGTCATATCGCCAAAGCTGTTTACCGCTGCGTTGGAAGATGTCTTCAAGCTTCTGGACTGGAGCGGGCTGGGCATCAACATTAACGGCGAGTACATCAATCACCTTCGATTTGCCGACGATATCGTGGTCATGGCTGAGACCCTGGAAGACCTTAGCAAAATGCTCGAAGACCTCAGTAGAGTCTCACAGTAGTAGGTCTTAAAATGAAGGAGTAGGTCTTAAAATGAACATGGACAAGACGAAAATTATGTCAAACGTCCATGTCGTACCTGCTCCCGTAAAAATCGGAGATTCTACATTCGAAACTGTCGATCACTACGTATACTTAGGGCAAACTATCCAGCTAGGTAGATCCAATTTCGAGAAAGAGGTCAATCGTCGAATCCAACTCGGATGGGCAGCGTTCGGGAAGCTCCGATATATCTTTTCGTCCAAATTTCCGCAGTGTCTCAAGACGAAGGTTTACGACCAATGTGTGTTGCCAGTGATGACTTACGGAACAGAGACGTGGTCGCTAACTATGGGCCCCATCAACAAGCTCAGAGTCACTCAGAGGGCAATGGAGAGGGCTATGCTCGGAGTTTCTCTGCGTGATCGAATCAGAAATGAGGAGATCCGCAGAAGAACCAGAGTGACCGACATAGTCCGAAGAATTGCGACTTTGAAGTGGCAATGGGCAGGGCACATAGCTCATAGGACAGATGGCCGTTGGGGCAGTAAAGTCCTCGAGTGGCGACCACGGACCGGAAGACGCAGCGTGGGAAGGCCTCCAGCAAGGTGGACCGACGATCTGGTCAAGATCGCGGGAAGGCATTGGATGCGAGCAGCGCAGGACCGATCGTCGTGGAGATCTTTGGGGGAGGCCTATGTCCAGCAGTGGACGTCTTCCGGGCTGCGATGATGATGATGATGATTTGTAAATTTTCATTTAAGGAGTGCACAAATACGACTAAGACAGTGGTTTTCGATTATATTCGATTGTTATAGGATGGAGTGACAATAGAGGTGGTGATTGCGAAGTACTGGGCGAACATCGGGGAGCTGAGTGTGAGCTACACGATCGAGTTCCACGGACTGAAGCCGGACTTCGGGTCGCGGCTGGTGGTGGCGGCCGGGGAGGGGGTCCGCGCCATCACTGTCGGGGCACTGAGACTGCAGGAGGTGCAGCCCGTCGCGCAGCTCAAGTACTCCGAGCCAGTCGTCAGGTGAGGAGGGAGGACACGCTGCGGCTGCAGGAGGTACTGCCCGTCGCACAGCCCAAGTACTCCGACTCTGTTTCCTTCCCTTCCTCTTGGGCAGGGTGCACTTGTTGCCCCACCCAGTGACCCAACGTCCGGCCCGTCGACGCACAAACGGCGGTTCTTGGAGCCACCACACACCCGGCGACTTTATCCGGCTTTCTCTTATCGGTAACAAAGTCTTACTCCTGCGTACACAGGCTGGAATTGCGCCATATACCTAGCAGTTCCAGAGCGAGTAAACTTCGAAATTCTAATCAAATTTTAACTCTAATCAAACTTTACAGAAATAATGATATAAACAATTTTGTTTGCAGGCCATCAGAATCCAAAATTATACCGCTAACTGCACGCGACATCATCCCACCAACCAGACAGATATACCAACTCCTAAATACATACAACTTCCACATCGCGAAGGCCACTGAGGTAATTTATTATAATTATATTTGGCTACATTTGTCTCTTTTAATATTGTAAACTGTGTTCTAGTTTTTGGATGATATTGTTGTGAAATTACAGACATGACATGTTAGTCCTCAGGAATGATACAGGGTGTTACAATATATTATATTGGTCGTGTTGCCACAGGTGTCACCGATTATCACCATGTTGAGCGAGATGCTGTATGAGTCTGAGTTTGAGTCCCAGATGTGGATGTTGTACAACAGTTGCAAACAGCTGATGGGCGTCGGAGATGCATACCCCTCGAAGGTGAGTCATTTTGTGCAGTTTAATTTATATTTGCTACTATATAGCTTTGATTAATGCATATGTCGCTGCTTTATATCCGGCTCAAAGGACCATTTGTGTGGAATTCTGTTGATAATGTTGACTACAAACTAGTATAATTTAACGGTTACAATATTTAAATGAAGTTAGGCCAGTTAGCTCATTGTGACGAATTCACCAGGAATTTACCACGACGATTTCCTCGACAAAGACATGCAGTCTGTGGAAAGAAGGAAATAAATTCAAAAAGAGGGATTAATGATTAACATAACAGTGTGTCAGTATTCAGTGAAACTGGAGAAGGGCGACTACGTGCTGCGCGTGAACGTGAGGCACGAGAACCGGTCGCTGCTGGAGCGGCTGCAGGAGCTGCCCGTGCTGGTGCAGCAGCGCCTCCCGCAGCCCATCACCCTCGACGTGTACTGCTCACACCTCCAGGTACTAGCGCATTTCACTACAGCAGTAGTGTTCGTCCAATATCAATTAAAGTTCTCAATATTTATACTAGATGGCGCTAGGTGAAATGTACAACAATATCAATTAAACAAGTGTAACAGTTTAGACCACATCATCACTTAACATCAGGTGAGATTGCGGTCAAACGCGCTCAAATTATGATCTAAAAAAAAAAAAATTAAAGTTCTCAATATTTGTACTAGATGGCGCTAGGTGAAATGTACAACAATATCAATTAAAGTTCTCAATATTTATACTAGATGGCGCTAGTTGAAATGTACAACAATATCAATTAAACAAGTGTAACAGCTTAGACCACATCATCACTTAACATCAGGTGAGATTGCGGTCAAAAGCGCTCAAATTATGATCTAAAAAAAAATTAAAGTTCTCAATATTTGTACTAGATGGCGCTAGGTGAAATGTACAACAATATCAATTAAAGTTCTCAATATTTATACTAGATGGCGCTAGTTGAAATGTACAACAATATCAAAGTTCTCAATATTTATACTAGATGGCACTAGTTGAAATGTACAACAATATCAAAGTTCTCAATATTTATACTAGATGGCGCTAGGTGAAATGTACAACAATATCAATTAAAGTTCTCGATATTTATACTAGATGGCGCTAGGTGAAATGTACAACAATATCAATTAAAGTTCTCGATATTTATACTAGATGGCGCTAGGTGAAATGTACAACAATATCAATTAAAGTTCTCAATATTTATACTAGATGGCGCTAGGTGAAATGTACAACAATATCAATTAAAGTTCTCAATATTTATACTAGATGGCGCTAGGTGAAATGTACAACAATATCAATTAATGTTCTCAATATGTATACTAGATGGCGCTAGGTGAAATGTACAACAATATCAATTAAAGTTCTCAATATTTATACTAGATGGCGCTAGGTGAAATGTACAACAATATCAATTAAAGTTCTCAATATTTATACTAGATGGCGCTAGGTGAAATGTACAACAATATCAATTAATGTTCTCAATATGTATACTAGATGGCGCTAGGTGAAATGTACAACAATATCAATTAAAGTTCTCAATATGTATACTAGATGGCGCTAGGTGAAATGTACAACAATATCAATTAAAGTTCTCAATATGTATACTAGATGGCGCTAGGTGAAATGTACAAGAATATCAATTAAAGTTCTCAATATTTATACTAGATGGCGCTAGGGTAAAAGTACAAGAATATCAATTAAAGATCTCAATATTTATACTAGATGGCGCTAGGGGAAAAGTACAAGAATATCAATTAAAGTTCTCAATATTTATACTAGATGGCGCTAGGTGAAATGTACAACAATATCAATTGAAGTTCTCAATATTTATACTAGATAGCGCTAGGTGAAATATACAACGCGCTATAGTTTCGTTTTCTTTGAATTTTGTAATTATTGAGTTCGTTTTGCACCCGAATATATCTTTGTTTACTATCCAATTCGGTGTTGTTTGATTTTGGCCTCGAGTAAAACAAGTAGTTAACAAAAAAGCGTATTTTTTATACCAACATTGTATGCTGTTGACTTGCAACGGTGTATTGCTATACTCTGATATCAACTGCTTGATACAACTTGTACAACTGTCAACACGATCATTGTTCATTGTATTTATTTATTTATTTATTAGCATACAAAACAGATTACAGTCAATATAATAATATAACTAGGAGCGTGTAGTTCGGTACAAAACTGGATTGTAATCCAACACTATGTATGCCTAAGAGCTAAATTATATAGACGCATTCAATATAGCCAGATAAGGTTATATAATGAAAAGTAAAATAAATAGAAAATGATATATAACTACGTAATGCAATGAATTATCATGTTAACAGAATTTTATTTATATATAATTTGTCTCTTTATGGTGGAAATTTAATTGTCTCCGGAACTGGACCAGCGTGTATTGCTATATTATTGACTTGTTGGTCTAGCGGTTTAGCACACCATCTTACATCCGATGGTCAATGGTTCGATTCCTCGTACACTACATTCATGTATATGACTGTTTGATAATAACTAGAAGTTTTTTTATGGGGGGTTGGGTCATAGTCAGGTGCTAGTACTGTAACACTGCGGCCTGTATAGATCTATTGCGCTCGCTCTTTTTCAAAGTTCGCTACCTAGACCCGTGGGGGACAAGAATTAAGGTATATTTTAGGGGCTTTTTGTCTCCTCAGGATAGAGTGTATACTTTCCAGAGGAGATATTTCTAACTAGATGTTAATAATAACATAGCGCTATCGAGTCTTGTAACATGGATACTAGAAAACTGAAATAAGTACATAAATCGGCAAGCGAATATACTTCAAAGGAGAGACAGCATCCTGCCCTCCCTCTCAATGTCCATATCATCATAAGTCCTCTGTGATTCAGTAACCCAAATATGTAAATTAATAGTCAGTTATCAAGATTCTATAATCGTCTTATAATGTATTTGCAGGCATTAACTGGAGGCAAGAAATTCGTGTCGGCGTCCCTTTCTAACGGGAATGTGCTACCGTTATATATTGCTGCTTTACCTGCCGATAAGTAAGTGCAATTTTGTGTTGTTGAATATCATATGGTTATGTCATTTAATTGAATGAATGGAGAATTTAAATATATATAACTCAAAGGTGACTGACATAGTGATTTATCAATGCACAGCGCAAATCACTGGACAGATCGGGCTGAAATTTGGCATGCAGGTAGATGTTATGACGTAGGCTTTCGCTAAGAAAGGATTTTGATTAATTCTACCCTCAAGGGGATGAAATAGGGGATGAAAGTTTGTATGAAACTGTCAATTTTAAACCGATCGGGCTGAGAAAGCACTATGACGTAGGCATCCCCTAAGAAAGGAATTTGATAAATTCCATCCCTAAGGGGATTATTTAACGCGAAGCCGCGGGTAAAAGCTAGTAGTCAATATACGAGGTCCATCTTACATCATCACCGTCGGTCTGGATATCTGGATACCTGAGATGTGTAGAGGAGGTGAGGTGAAGATGCGGCGGTGTCCCCAGACTGGCGCGGTCGACGCTGAGCGTGGGCCAGAACCTGACGGGCACCCTCACGCTGGCGCGCGACGAGCTCGGCCGCCGCGTGGACGCGCGCGCGCTGCACTACGCCGCGTGCGAGGCGCCGCGCCGCCCGCCGCCCCGCGACAGGGACCGCGCCAGGCCCGCCGACGACTACTCCGACGCCTGCAAGGACTTCGCCACCGGCTGGCTGCCCAAGCTCGGTACGTCTACTACACCTTCATATCACACTCACTACGCCGCGTGCGAGGCGCCGCGCCGCCCGCCGCCCCGCGACAGGGACCGCGCCAGGCCCGCCGACGACTACTCCGACGCCTGCAAGGACTTCGCCACCGGCTGGCTGCCCAAGCTCGGTACGTCTACTACACCTTCATATCACACTCACTACGCCGCGTGCGAGGCGCCGCGCCGCCCGCCGCCCCGCGACAGGGACCGCGCCAGGCCCGCCGACGACTACTCCGACGCCTGCAAGGACTTCGCCACCGGCTGGCTGCCCAAGCTCGGTACGTCTACTACACCTTCATATCACACTCACTACGCCGCGTGCGAGGCGCCGCGCCGCCCGCCGCCCCGCGACAGGGACCGCGCCAGGCCCGCCGACGACTACTCCGACGCCTGCAAGGACTTCGCCACCGGCTGGCTGCCCAAGCTCGGTACGTCTACTACACCTTCATATCACACTCACTACGCCGCGTGCGAGGCGCCGCGCCGCCCGCCGCCCCGCGACAGGGACCGCGCCAGGCCCGCCGACGACTACTCCGACGCCTGCAAGGACTTCGCCACCGGCTGGCTGCCCAAGCTCGGTACGTCTACTACACCTTCATATCACACTCACTACGCATCGATTGCCTTAAACGTGTCTACTACACCCGGTCCACATCTCGACACTATCATAACAATTGTTATTTTATGTCATCAGTTGTCTTTACACGTATGCTCGTTAACCCGCGAATCGCCTTTCACGCAAAAAAGGTTGTACATTTATAATCACAAAAAAGATTGTGCATTTATAACCGTTTTAGAGCAACGCAATTATTAAATTTTAAATAAAATAAAAAATAATAAAAAAAAATGTATGTATTTTTATGATAGCATAATATAATACAGTAGACAACCTATTAAAATATTAAAAGCAAACTTTTGCTACTTAGCACAAAAGCACTGTGTATGAGATATAGTTGAATTTTGCTTAACGTATTTTGTGTAATGTCTAGAGCAAGGAAACACACGTCTGTTCTGTAGTAATTTGTATTTGCAACTAAATGAAATAACACACTGCTTGGCACTGAAACAGTTAGAAAAAGTGTTAATTAAATAAATAAATAAAATCAAATTATATTTGCATCCATATCACTATTATTTTTATAGTATTTCTTTTAACATAACCAAACGTATATTTACAGCTAATTTTGACAACATAATTATAGTGTTCACTTATTTATTATTTAAGTCTACTTACATCTCCTAATATATTAGTTATTATCGCCATAACATGAGGTCGTTACCCACAGCTCCTTTTGTTTACTCCGCGACTTCTATGCGGAGAATATCTCCTCTCATATATAACGTATGCGCCAGGCGCAAGACGTCAGTTAAATTAACTATCTATTAATAAAGTTACGCATATACTACAAGTACAATCATCACCATCATCATCATCGCAGCCCGGAAGACGTCCACTGCTGGACATAGGCCTCCCCCAAAGATCTCCACGACGATCGGTCCTGCGCTGCTCGCATCCAATGCCTTCCAGCGATCTTGACCAGATCGTCGGTCCACCTTGCTGGAGGCCTTCCCACGCTGCGTCTTCCGGTCCGTGGTCGCCACTCGAGGACTTTACTGCCCCAACGGCCATCTGTCCTATGAGCTATGTGCCCTGCCCATTGCCACTTCAAAGTCGCAATTCTTCGGGCTATGTCGGTCACAAGTACAATATTAATTAATAATTCAAAATGTACGATTACAGAAGGCGAAAAGCTAGAGCAGCTGTATGAAGAGATGCAGCAGAAGTTCCCAGGATACCTGGGGACTCACATAGCATATTTGCAAGCCGTTGACCCGCCTACGGATCCTAAGAAGTGAGTATTTTTTGTTTTATATGAGTACGTGAATGTGTGCATATATACGTATCTAAATGCGGGCATTACATATATATATGTATATGCATCCTTGTAATATAATAATTTTACAGATCCTAAGAAGTGAGTATTTTTTGTTTTATATGAGTACGTGAATGTGTGCCTATATACGTATCTAAATGCATGCATTACATATATATATGTATATGCAAATGCATCCTTGTAATATAATAATTTTCCTGGGTTATTATTCTCTTATATATTAAATTCTCGTGTCACAATGTTATTTACCATACTCCTCCGCAACAACAGAAATTTTATATGCATATTCAACTGTGTAGACAACCCTTAACATTGTTTTTTTTTAATGTCATTAATAAATACATACAACCCTAAGTTTCAACCTTTTACTATCAACCCTTATTTTTTAATAGCGATTATAATTTATATGCCAAAACAAAGTTTGCGGGGTCATCTAAATGGTAGTAAGTATCTAAATGTGTGTGTATGTGCATTACATATGCAGATATTATATATATTGCAATATAAGAATTGTCTATTATTATTTAATAATAACCTAGGATAATTACCACAGCGCCACCTAGTCCCACGGTAAGTAGAGCTTGTGTTATGGATACTGTAAGCGACGCACTACTTATATATATAATTGATTGTATATCTTTATGTCATGTTCCTCTTAAGATGTTCTTGTTTTGCCCTATTGTTTAGAATTGTATGTATACCTGTATTACGCACCTACGTATGATTTTTATTAAAAGTTTAAAAAAAATTCAAAATTCAAAAATCATTTATTCATGTAGGACATTTTAGCCGCTTATGAACGTCAAATTTTTACATTAAAATTTTTTTTTGTCCAGTTCGGTATATAGATCCAATTGAGAAGAACTGGCAAGAAACTCATTTGAATTACTTTTTTTTTTTAAAGCCAGTTTATTTACAATGTATTTTTATATAGGTGTCTATGTCTAACATTAAATGAAAATTCAGTACATGAACAACTATTGCCATGCACACTCGTCAATCAAGTAATCGTTTAGTGAGTAATAGGCTTCCCAAGCCTAATTGCTTAGTAGCTTCCCACCAACCAATGCGAATGCGGCTTGTTGCACGTCCTAGTTTTAAACTACGCAATATCTTTTATTTTCATCCCTTATAGATACTAGACAACTGATATCAATACTTAGATATTTTCTAAATACATACATAATATACATAGAAAACACCCAGATCGATACAAACAATCATATTCATTAGGTAATAATACACTTAGATTGTGGAATGAACTTCCTGCCGAGGTTTTCTCACGAGACTACAGCATGGGGTTTTTCAAGAAGGGTATATTAAGGTTTCTTAAGGGTCGGCAACGCGCACGTGATACCCCTGGTGCTTCATTTACCATCAGATGGGCCGTATGCTTGTTTGCCACCATAGTAGTATAAAAAATATATATATATGTATATATATATATAACGTGTTTGTTTCAGATTACCACACGCCAATCAAGAACCAGATGTGACGAAAGCGTGGTGTGAACAACTCATCGCTATATCAGATAAGGTATATATTAATTCACTTTATATTAACCGGGTCTTAACACGAATAATTTTATGGCACATAAAGGTATTTACCTCTCTCGAAGTTTCGACTAGGTTGCACTAGCCGTGGTCACGAGCTTACTGACTGACTGTCAGGTAAATACCTTTATTTGCCATAAAATTAATTCGTGTTAAGACCCGGTTAATAATATAAATAATGTATATTAAACAAAGTTTAAAAATAACTAATTCACTTTCTATCTATTAATATTATATATCCGAAAGTGTATCTCTATATTTCACAGATAAATAAAATGAAGTTTTTGTTGAAATTTGGCAAAAATTTTTCTAGAAATAAAATAGAAATAATCTTTATTCAAATAAACTTAAGCACTTTTGAATAGTTTTTTTATTCCACCGCTTATTTGGAATGCAGATTCATCACGAGAATAAGCAAGAAACTTGTGTGTTGCTCTTTTAAATAAATATTGATTTACTTATATTTAATTGACAACAAGGATTAGGCATGCGACAATCAACATAGAAGCCGCTACGCACTTAATCTCTGTTCAATCAGATAACATTGTCAGCGCTATGAATTTTAAGTTAGATATTTTCTACAAAAACATACTGTATCCCAAGTCACGGTTCTATCACAAAAGTAATCTGGAAGGAGGTGAATGTTTGTGAAGACGAAGTCACGATATATATTATGTATTCTATTGAACTGATTGAGGAATTGAAGGAGAAGTCAGAGATCTCCGAAATCGACCTCCGTACATGATCTTTCATTTAGATACATAACTCCCCGTGAATAAAAGAAGAGAAGCTTAATATACACTTAGATTGTGGAATGAACTACCTGCCGAGGTTTTCTCGAGAGACTACAGCATGGGGTTTTTCAAGAAGGGTATATTAAGGTTTCTTAAGGGTCCGCAACGCGCACGTGACACCCCTGGTGTTTCAGGCGTCCATAGGCTACGGTAGCCATTTACCATCAGATGGGCCGTATGCTTGTTTGCCACCTAAGTGGTATAAAAAAAATAATAATATGCATATATGTCAATTGGTAAATTTAATTGTAGGTGATCAAAGCAATAGATCAAGATAAGCTGCTGGCCTATCTGGGCACGAAGAACGATATACGAAGCGATGCGAACAAAATAAAACAGTGAGTATATCATTGTGTTGCTTTCTTATTTATTTTATTTCTTATTTGGTTCTATATTAAATATAGTCCATACATTTCATTCCTCAACCTTATTTCTTATGAATATAAAAACATAAACATATAGTTTTAAGTCTTAAAAAGTACTTAATATTATCGGATATCTATTTTTTGTATTCACGATATTATACGTAATCGCTTTAAAAAAAAATTTGAAAATTTATCAAAAGAGTAAAAATTGAGTGTACTTGAAAATTCAGGTAGAGAACGCCCTTAGGTGTTAAGTTGGCCATATGTACATTTATATATTGTATTTGTGGATTAAAGTTTAAATAAATAAATAAAATTTAATACCTCGTGTATTGCACAGTAAGCAGGCATGTACGGGTCCGTACAATACATTATCACTATCTATATATCGAAGACACATATATATAGATAGACGATAGACGACCTCGATAGTATAGCGGTCTAGCACACCGCTTTACGTTCGATGGTCGCGGGTTCGATTCCTCGCACGGCACAAACATTTGTATTCATGAGTATGATTGTTTGTATCGGTCTGGGTGTTTTCCATGTTTAATATGTATGTATTTACGAAAAAAAAATATCTATGTACTTGTATCAGTTATCTAGTACCCATAACACAAGCTTTAGGTAGCTTAACGTGGGTCTAGATGGCGCTGTGTGAATTGTACTGAAATAATTAAGATTTACAAATTACCAAATACTATACAAATATGTCTTTGTTTTGTAGTCAGTTCTCGGTCATTTTATAATGATAATTCATTATTCTCTCTACAATCTCCACTACTTCCACACCACAATACTCCCTAATAACTAATCTTGCACGTACGTTTTTCCACACCCAAAACAAAAAGCATGTATTATTGGTTGTTGTGTGAAGTGACTAGTGGAGATTGTTGCGCTGCATATGCAGGTAGTAGGAGTGCGGGTAGTGAAGACGTGGTTACTGCGTCCTCTTACATTTATATGCGTATTGTTTCCTGCGTGGCAAATATGCACGTGTAAGTGCAGTATTAGGACAGTGTTGGAGTGAGGAGTGATGAAGACTGGGAGACGGTGTGGTGTCTGCTGCTCTCTTTGTGTACTTTTATATGCTGTTTCGTGCGTGTAAGAGCATATGTGTAAGTACAGCTAATAGGAGAGTATTGTGGTGAGGAGTGAGGACTAAGGAGTGGAGAGTGTAGCCGTGCATGTGCAGGAGTATCTGTGCAGGGATGTCAGCGGTAGAGATGTTATATACTTATCGCTATGCGCGTAAAAGAGTGTACTAGTAAGTACAGCTATTAGGAGAATATTGTGGTGAGGATTGTGTGAGAGTGTTTACAGGGAATAGGAACGACTACGTCTAGATGTGTTTCTGTGTTCTCTTTGTTTAATCGCGTATGCTGTTGGTTATTCGCGTGAAAGCGTACATGTAGAGGCAGTTATTAGGAGAGTAGTATGTTGAGGAGTGGGAGTGAATGTATCGGTGTGCGTGCAGGGAGCAGGAGCGACTGCGCGGGTGGGCCGTGGAGGCGTGGTGCCGGCGCGGCGCGGCGCTGTGTCGTCTGCACCAGCTCGCACCAGACAACCCCACGCTGGCCGCCGCCGCCGCCGGCAACTACGCGGACCTGCTGCGGTTCACTGACCTCACCGACCCCAAGGTACGTCTGCACCAGCTCGCACCAGACAACCCCACGCTGGCCGCCGCCGCCGCCGGCAACTACGCGGACCTGCTGCGGTTCACTGACCTCACCGACCCCAAGGTACGTCTGCACCAGCTCGCACCAGACAACCCCACGCTGGCCGCCGCCGCCGCCGGCAACTACGCGGACCTGCTGCGGTTCACTGACCTCACCGACCCCAAGGTACGTCTGCACCAGCTCGCACCAGACAACCCCACGCTGGCCGCCGCCGCCGCCGGCAACTACGCGGACCTGCTGCGGTTCACTGACCTCACCGACCCCAAGGTACGTCTGCACCAGCTCGCACCAGACAACCCCACGCTGGCCGCCGCCGCCGCCGGCAACTACGCGGACCTGCTGCGGTTCACTGACCTCACCGACCCCAAGGTACGTCTGCACCAGCTCGCACCAGACAACCCCACGCTGGCCGCCGCCGCCGCCGGCAACTACGCGGACCTGCTGCGGTTCACTGACCTCACCGACCCCAAGGTACGTCTGCACCAGCTCGCACCAGACAACCCCACGCTGGCCGCCGCCGCCGCCGGCAACTACGCGGACCTGCTGCGGTTCACTGACCTCACCGACCCCAAGGTACGTCTGCACCAGCTCGCACCAGACAACCCCACGCTGGCCGCCGCCGCCGCCGGCAACTACGCGGACCTGCTGCGGTTCACTGACCTCACCGACCCCAAGGTACGTCTGCACCAGCTCGCACCAGACAACCCCACGCTGGCCGCCGCCGCCGCCGGCAACTACGCGGACCTGCTGCGGTTCACTGACCTCACCGACCCCAAGGTACGTCTGCACCAGCTCGCACCAGACAACCCCACGCTGGCCGCCGCCGCCGCCGGCAACTACGCGGACCTGCTGCGGTTCACTGACCTCACCGACCCCAAGGTACGTCTGCACCAGCTCGCACCAGACAACCCCACGCTGGCCGCCGCCGCCGCCGGCAACTACGCGGACCTGCTGCGGTTCACTGACCTCACCGACCCCAAGGTACGTCTGCACCAGCTCGCACCAGACAACCCCACGCTGGCCGCCGCCGCCGCCGGCAACTACGCGGACCTGCTGCGGTTCACTGACCTCACCGACCCCAAGGTACGACGCGACCCATATTACTTCTGGCTGAGGAGATTACGAGTCTTAGCCAACGCATCCAGTGACTTATAACGCGTCAACCCTACTCGTGGCTGAAAGGTTTTCCAAGTCTTAGTCGCATGACACCCCATTTGTGACTAAGAGGCTTCTAGCCACCGAAGTTAACACGTTAACGGACACTTGCGTTCAGCATGTGGCACGACAGCAATAGCTGTCCAAAATTAAACTGTAATTTTCAATACTACAGCTATAGCGACACGAATGTGCATTTAGCATTAAAAGAGATTGTTAGTAATGTGGACTGATGACCCCTATTGCTAGGAATGTCCAATAGATCTCCATGCCAATCCCCCATATAAACCATTTTAGTAAATTTCTAGCAAAATCACCACAATAGTCAAACTGACATGACCTCATATTCATCTTGTTCATCCTTCACTAGTACCGTATACCATACTCCAACGTATACCTTTATAACAGCCAGACGTATCATTCCATTGTCAACTATTAAAAAAACACCACTCATAGCTAAGAGATTTCCAAGTTTCAGCTACCAACACAACCTCCAGTCACTTATAATCTCTATTTAATCAAATCAAAATTTGTTTTATCAAATCCATTATTTCCAATAATACCTAAATCGTTTTCAGGTGTTGCATTATGGCGTTTGGCACTGCTTCACCAACAAGCATTGGGGGCGAGCCATCAAACTCCTCAACAAGATCCAAGAGGAGCGCCCCTCCAAGGAGGTGGAGGAGCGGCTCCTCGAGGCGTACGAGCAGCTTGGGTGGAAGTACCTCGCCACGGCCACCCAGCTCTCCTTACCAATTAAGTACCCTTCAGTCTACCGGCCCTTCTGAGGGTGGATATCGGATGAATAATAATATAATAAGCTTCGAATATCGACTTATATCTTTATAGTAACCGGGTTATGACAATAGGTATTATTCTATTTTAAATCAACTGCCTCAGAGATGAGAGTTTTATTTCGACTGCGTCAGGATCTCTGGATTGATTTTTTAATAAAGGTAATATGACAGATTTAAAGAAACATGACTGATATGATGTAGTGGTAAATATTTTTATATGTGGGTGTGTTTTTTTAACTGGTAGTAGCAAAAAAGGCCCCAAAAGAAGATTATGAAGAATGAACAAAATGTCAACTCAAAATTTTTTTCTTACATAGAACCTTTGGGCATCTTGTCCCGTCTATTTGTCCCTACCGTCCAGTTCGGCTAGCTACTTCAGTTGAGAGGATCTGACAAGAAACTCAACTGGTACAGTTTTTTTATGTTATTTTATTTTACCCACTAAAAAACATGGTGTAACTACGAGCGTCTTTGCCGGAGTCGTGTGATTGCGTTAGCATTCTACTGCAATTTAGGCGTTGGCCCGCCCTGTAGATGGTGTCCCTACACCATCTACAGCAACGAGATGGGCGTTGTTAGGGCGACCTATTTCGCCATATTCAGTTGCCCTAACAACGAGATGGGCATTGTTAGGGCGACCTATTTATCCCTATTCAGTTATGGAAGCGTATGGCACGTTCACACCTCCGGGGCTATTTGATTGGGGCGCTGCATCCCTTAAGGAAACTACCCCGTGGGGGTAGAGGTGGGCCGGGGTTGAGTACTACGCGCAGTATTAATATTAATAAAAATGATAAAAGAATATGAACAATGGCCCCTTAGAATAAGGGAATGATTCATTGCCTTTGTCGACAGGGTTACTATGAAGGCACAGTCGATTCTCACGTGTACAGCTTTTCTCGATTATTCATACAGATTTTATAATAAATAAGTCTCAATGCCCTAGATTAATTTACGCTTAAGAATTGAAATGTTAATATGACAAATGACACCAATATATATGTGAATGATGAATTTCTAAAGCATTTTCTATTTGGTTGTACGTAACATATACATAAAAATCAATAAGTACATCTGCACAAATGAACAAGCTCATTCTTCAATAGTTAATTCAAGATTAATAAAAATAATGTGGATATTTTATTGTTATAGTTGAATCACTAAGTAAATTATAATTGCATGTATTTTATACCATATATTTTACACTGATATGTTACTTCCATATATTTATATGTAATAGTTGAATCACTTGAAAGTCACTTAATAATTATGTTAGCATCAGTGGTGAGACTGTACCGTTCGATTCCCGTGGCAAGTTCTCGCCGGGATCATAATATGAACTAATATATTATTTGTGAGGAATATACATATATACACATACATACGTATGTAGGTATATGCATATACTGTTAATTGACCACGCATATCTCCGAAATTATTACGCATATTTTGACAATTCTTTTAAAAGTGGTTTACAACATTATTTTTGCATTGAAATTTTGAATTTTTTACTTGTCAGTGGCACAAGTAAAGAAATATTAAATTTCAATAACTTAAATATAGGTAGCTCAAAGAAATTGAAGACAAAATATTTTTTTTTATGTATTTTATTGTGTCATAAGAAATATTGTGGGTTAGGATCTCCTCTAACCGGAGGTCCTTTCCGGCTGGGCCCCTTATTTTGCCGACTTATCACCCTCTAGTTACGCCACTGGTTAGCGTGCTGAATAATATTTATACATATTATATATATTTATAATCAAAATACATTAATTCAAATTAATATTATTATACAAACAATCAGCTCATATATAGTTTAGATACATTAACAACGCTTCTGCCTTACGAATGTTAATAATGAAATATTATAAAGCAGAAATATATAGTACACGCGGTTTTATTCGCGAGAAATGCCCATATGTTATTCTCATGTAGAATGTATGTTATTGTAAAATTTCATTAAAATCCATGTAGTAGTTTTTGTGTGAAAGAATAACATATATCTATCCATCCACATAAACTACCGCGTTTTTAATATTATTATATTAATCGCTTATCTTATATATAAAATTCTCGTGTCACAGTTTTCGTTCCCATACTCCTCCGAAACGGCTGACCGATTCTCATGAAATTTTGTGAGCGTATTGAGTAGGTCTGAGAATCGGCCAATATCTATTTCTCATCCCCCTAAATGTTAGGGGTAGTCCACCCCTAAATTTTTATTTTTAGACAAAATTTTTAGTTTACATTTTTTTATGTATGTATCATAAAAAAATAGAAACTAAAAATTTTGAAACATACAAAAATACATACAATCCTAAATTTTCACCCTTCCAGCAGCAACACCTATTTTTTAATAGCGATTTTAATTTATATGGCATAACAACGTTTGCCGGGACAGCTAGTATTAATATATAGTAAGACTGCGCGACTTCATCTGCATGACATTTCACATCTATTGATCGTAGCATATAGCATATACCCTTCGCATAAACATCAGCAGATTTTGCCAAGCTGAAGAGGAAACGCCACTACACATCCTATGTGGTTGTAGCCCACTTCTACTTTAACGAAATATGTCCTTTGGAAAGTGCACAGTATATTCTGAGAAGATAACTATCGCTCCTACGAATATCCTTCAATTATTGTCCCTGATAAGTTTAGGTGGAAAACCTTGAAAAAGGGCGAGGACGATAGATATTTAATAAGACACAATGCTACACCTGACAACGCTCATGCGTTAATAAGAATATATATCTTTATATGTTTCTGCTTTATAATAAAACATATATATACATAAATAATAACAATAGTTTGTCTACGGGATGTTTTATTCTTGTAAATAACTCTGCACAATCGATTATTTACCTTTAGTTATTATTAATAGAGTTAAGTTAACCGTAGCAAAAGTGATTTGATTTGCTCGTACGTAAATCATGCCTTGATTAAATAAGTCCACTTTACGTGCCAGTTTTATATCTAACAAGATTATATATACATATATATATATATAAGGGGCATTCATAAGTTATTATTTACTCCCCACCTGTCTTAGGTGGTATATTTTCATAGTTAAAATTTAGTGTTTTAATACTAAAATTGAAATGTTACGTCACAAAATGTAAGACTCACTCCCAGAGGTGTTAAAGGATTAGAGATTTCATGAATTTTTTACATGAAGTTTGGTATAAACTTCGTGTAAAAAACAATGTCACACTTTGTCGATCGATAACTTGTGACATCGATGTGACGAATTTATGGATGCCCCCTAACAAACTACACACTATTTTTGTTCAATCACACAGTGACAGAGATTATATAAGGGGATGTTATTAGAATATTTAGTCTGTCAAGTATTGAGCATGGTAGAATAGGATTTGAATTTTCTTTCTGACGGAGACCTGACTCCGGTAGTTTCCTATAAAATATTACATGATTTGACCAAACAATTAATTACTGACTTTATCTTAACGACATTAAGGTAAAAATTGTTTATTTTATAGCATAAGTTTTTAAATTTCTTGGAACGTCCAATTCTCTGGATACATTACATTTTCAATGAGGTCTTATACTCTAGCTGATGTTTAATTATTTAAAACATTGACAAAATTATTATACCCCGCAAGATATTATTTTTACCTCTTGCTTGCAGCCCATCCCTCCTGCAAAATGTCGGACAATTTCTGTAGAACATAAATACAGATTTAGTACTTCTTTTGTACTTTTACTCCTGAACTTTCGACCATGTTCATCTATGAGAAGGATTATAGCAGTCTTGTTGATGCATCTATATTACTTTAACAAAGTACTGAAATTTTTAGTGTTCTAGCGGCAGGGTGCTGTTTTGTTGTGTGCTCAAACATAATAATTAATGTTAACTGCGGAGGAATTGTCTTATTGTCTTATCATTTTATTTAGGATCACTTGTACAAAAATAAGTACATCTTATACTTAAAATAATTTGTTATGTTTTATTATAATACAATAGTTTGTCTCGGTAGGTATGTTATTTTACTCCTACGAAATGGTGATTAATGAATGCATGATAAAAAAAAATATTTCGGTTAGAGAATATTTACTCTCATAAAATCTTTTACTATTAACTGAACTACGCGGTATATGTTGATTGTGAATGAAACGACAGCTTTATGTCTTTATATTTATGATTGTAATTCAATTACTCATATAATTAAGTAGTGATCATGCCATTTCTAAACCAGTTATCAATCAACCAATTAAAAAAACAAGTTGATCAAGGGACGTTTACGTCGTTTTATTCTCAGACCTACTGAATATACACACAAGATTTCATGAGAATCGTTCAAGCCGTTTCGGAGGAGTCTCGGTACAAGCACTGTGACACGAGAATTGTGTTATATATAATGTAGACATATTTTAAAAAGGTATGAGATAGTTCGTCCGCAGGTAAATCATTGTATTTAAGTTAACATATTACAGAATATTGCAATACATAATTCTGTGATACTTGCTATTAATATTTGTCTTACTAGCGTAGTTCTTGAAAGGACGGCGAGTTTGAATCTGAGCGACAAAAGATTGTTTTTCAGTTCAAATTTCGGTAGTCACCGATTATGGAAACACCGATAATAAACCAACATATTCCTAATGATTGCGGTTGATTTCTGCTTTGATTGAATTATACTCTGTGGATATGTCAAGTTGACAGTTGCTTCTGATGGATTATCTGTAGGTTTTGTTTTTTAATTCTGTACAATGACATTATAAGTATGTTATAGTATAATGCTACAAGGCTATCACAGAATTACTGTATTACATATATATACTTATATTTTTTTTATTTTCATAGTAATAATGCGACAGAAACCTCATTAGTGTTATTATTGATAGCAACGAACGCTCAATAAGGGGCCATACATAAAATATGTCACAGATGGGGCTTGGGGAGTCGACAAAGTGTGACATAGTGTGACAAGGATGAACTTTATCTGTATGGACATAATGTATAAATTATATTGATTATGTGTACTCGTAAAATTGGAAAATATATGACGACCACTAGCGAGGGGGAATTTAAAAAATGTGACAAGGGAGCGAAGGAACATAAATCATACATGTTAATATGTCACAGATGGTGTTGGGGTCCTCAAAGTGTGACATAATGTGACAAGGATGAACTTTATCTGTATAGACATAATGTATAAATCAAATTAATGAGTTTATACTCGCAAATTGCAAAATATATGACGACACACTAGCGATGGAGAGTTTCAAAAATGTGACA